CTATGTTCCACAACTTGCGAATGCCATTTACGACAGGAACAAGAAGGTTACAAGAAAATCACACATCAATCTCAAGGGTTTCATGGTATGTACTAAGTAGTGAGGTCACTTGCGACACAAGGAAAAAAACGTTTTCTTCGTGATATATAAGTAAAAATATTCATGGTTAGGTGACTGCTTTTGCAGATTGGTAACGCGGTGATCAACGAGGAAACAGACATGGCAGGACTAGTGGACTATGCATGGAGCCATGCTATAGTGTCTGACGAGATCCACAGCAACATCCATGGCATGTGCCGTTTTAAGGAAGAGCAAACGAGCAACCAGACCGTAGAATGTAGCGACAATTTCAAAGCGTTCATGGAAGCTTACAACGACATCGATATATACAGCATCTATACACCGGTTTGCCTCTCCTCTTATTCGTCATCTTCTTCTCCAAAAAAACCTAAACTCATCGTGTCTCCTCGTCTCCTAACTTCACACGTACGTATACAAATTTACTAATAATATTTAGGGATGATATATTAGTTTATGGTAATCATTTTTGCATTTTATTGTTTTAAAATGGTCAGGACTTGTGGGATAGCTTGCCGGCCGGGTATGATCCATGCACTGAAGGCTATGCTGAAAGTTATTTTAACAGGAAAGATGTGCAGGCTGCACTTCATGCGAACGTTACAAACCTTCCTTATCCGTATACTCCTTGCAGGTTAGTCCTAGTTACGTTGCTTATTATTAACAATGGCTAGAGACTCGATTCAGTTTAACTTAAAAAAATGTTAATAAGTTATCTATTGAACACAAGTTATTTTTTGTATGTGTGTGTGTGTGATGCAGTGGGGTAATAAAGAGATGGAATGATGCTTCTTCCACCGTGATTCCCATCATCCAGAAGCTTTTGGCAGGTGGCCTCCGCATCTGGATCTATAGGTATATTATCTATGTTCTGTAAAATTGCTAAATGGTAGTTAGGCGTTTAATAGAAGATTATCGTCTAGGCGGGTGACTTAGGCCCGTCTAGGTGTCTAGGTGTTGCAAGTACTGATTTTTTTAACACAAGTTTTTTTTATTGTATAGAAATTTTAGACGAATTTGAAGAAGAAAATATAATATATATATAGTTGAATCTGTATAAATTAATAATCGATAAATTAATATACACTAAATATCCCTATAACATAATATAATTTTATGGTCCGAAATTGAGTTTTTGTTCAATTAGTATATCGATAAAATAATAATTTTTATAAATTGATTAAAAATTATAATTTTGGTGTAGTCCCAACATTATTAATTTATAGAAGTTTCACTGTATATACTTTGTTAATCACTCTACTAATTAATGATTTTTATTGGTTTGATTTTGGTTATAGTGGAGATACTGATGGGAGAGTTCCAGTAACGTCTACACGTTATAGCATCAAGAAGATGGGACCTAAGGTGGAGTCACCATGGAGGTCATGGTTCCACAAGAGTCAAGTAGCTGGATGGGTTGAAACTTACGCTGGAGGACTAACTTTTGCCACCGTGAGGGGAGCCGGTCATCAGGTTCCGGTCTTTGCTCCAGCCCAATCTCTTTCCTTATTCTCCCACTTCCTTTCTTCCACTCCATTGCCTGCAAAACGTTTCTGATCATTACCGCCACCAAGTCATCTATGACAAGTTGTTGTGTTTTTGAAACCGTCTTTTGGTACTTATGTACCCAAATGATATAATGAGTTTCAAATGATCAATAAAATATTTTAAACATTGCGTTTGTTGGAATTAAATTTTAATATTTTTCTTCATAATTATAATTTTGGAGATTATATTAGGAATCTAGTATTGACCATTTAGTGCTGGTGCAAGAGCCTCTGTTTTTTTGTTCCTCTACAGATAAAAAGGGTACAATTACAAGAGAATATAATCTAATACAAACAATCAATAATACAACAAGGTTATCTTATTAGTAAATTTGTATAGTACAGATATTAATTGACACATCAGAGCTAAACTCAATTCACCACTAGTGCAAAACTAATCACAAGACAAGATTAGGCCACTAGAAACAGAGAAATAATGCAGAGATTGCTGAAAGAGAACCACATTTCATCTCTAAACCCATCGAAACATCTACATAAACACGCCACATTGCCCCCTTCAACTTACTCAAACCCATGAAGCTGATAAAAACTGAGGACTAAGTCAAAATCGAGACTTTGAATCAGAACTAAATTAAACCTAGTCCAACCCATTACAATTCAAGCGGTCATAGACTCTCAATATATACATGGTGTTGGTTGTTCATATGTATTTTGGATATTCAAGTAAGCAAATGATATGATATATAAACCATTTATCATTTGATAACACTTTACAAAATTAATCTATTTTTCTAGTGTATTTATTTGTAAAGCATACTATTTAATATGTTTGTATAGATCAATACGGACACTTGTATGATGTATATACATGTATGATATACAAACTGAAAAATAACAGTGGTTGATAATTATGTAATTATATATACATGTATGTTAACTAAAAAATACTTTAATGATCTATTTCCGATGACCTAAAATTTACGCATGAGTCCGTTAACTATATAAATAATGATAGTTGTATGATGTATGAATCGAGAAATAACAGTAAGATATAACTATAAACTTACCACTACATATGCTAAGTTCTATTAAAAAAACATTTATGCTAAGTGGAAAAGATGACTAAAAGTTAAACACATTTTGGTTTAGTTATTCGCTTGACCAATTGGAGAAATGGAATCCAAAGAATATTACATTAAATGTTTGACACCATTAATTGCTTTTTGAAAACAATAGTAATATTTTAGGAAATGAAAATTGACGTTATTTGAGCTACAATTCTCCTATATGCTTATGCAAAGAGCAGATTTCATTGAGGAGCTCAAGAACAAATGTAGCAAAGCACATTTCAAGATATATGAGAATAGAGGTTATCGTTGCATTTGGGTCTCAGTTTTAGAGAATTTTGTTTCATCAGGCTCACCAACATTCTCTGCTGCTATTCACCTTCTCTCTCTTTGCTCTACCTATGATGAAATTGGAACAAGGACAATTGTCTTTATTATCATCAAAAGACAAAGACAAATGTTGTCCAAAGATCTTATTGGTTTATGAGAGGAAACTTATTCATGCTCTGTCTAATGTTCACAGAGAAGAATAGACATGTATCATCTTTACTTTAGTGGCACAAACAATAAGATATATGAGAAGTTATCAAATTGTGGTCTCAGTAGACCACATTTTTCGCTTCCAATTAATGTAATGAGTTTCAAATGACAGCAAAAACTTTGCGTTCGTTGGAATTAACTTTTTGTTTGTGTTCATATTCATAATTAGAGAAATTATCTATTTCATTTTAATCTTATTTTAGATTAGTTCATAGATATTGAAAAAACAAAATTTGTACATTTCCTAATTAAAAACATCATTGTTTATATAACTATCAATATTTAAATTAATAACCAATAAAAATAGGCTGAAAACATAAAGAATCATCAATATTATTAAAAGAGAACAAGTCTTAAAAAATCTACTTATGCAAGGTTGTCGGACTTATTCATTTTTAATTTAATTTGTATCCAACCAAAATTCATATAACTATCCTATATCAACATTCACGGGTTCATATTCCTTAACATCGTCAGATTATATCAACCAAAAATTATAGAAAATAGACAGTGACTTTTATCAAACCAAGCTTTATTAATCATTTCGATCAAACGAACATTTTATACTTAGAGATCAAATGACTTTTATCACATCGCCACTTTTATCAAACCAATACGATTAATATCCCATAAATTTTTTTTTTATCAAATGAGATCGAATGTTATGATACAGAGGGGTCATTTGTCCACCATATCTGTCTAATCCTCCTCTATTAGAGCCTCAAATTCTTTACAGAGATGCATCAGTATCATGTTTAATATATAAAAAGTACTGGTAGAACATTTAATATTTCCTACACACATTTATCAAATGATATCAAATAAGATGTATCATGCGTAAAGCAATCGTCTTATATTTCATCCTCCTCCATTAGAGCATCAAGTTCTTAACATAAATGCATCAGTTTCCGGTTTGTATAATATACAATTTTGAAAATAATTGATGCTGATATTATGCTGATTTAGATACTATTTCATTACATTTACATGATTAAAACTAAAACCAAATCTAATTATAGATACTAAAATATGTATCAGTTATTTATATATAATTTAGCGAGTTTTTGAGTATATTATAACCAAAAATAAATAATTTATGTTTTCCTAAAATATTCATATCTTAGTAAACTTACAAAATTATTGTTAAATTTTATAGAAAACGTAATCTAATTTTTCTTAAATAACCTATTAGTAACAGCCAAGATGTTTTAAAATATATACCCTAATTCCGATGACCTATAACACCCCACCCCTAATATTATAAATATACTTTTATTCCTAACAATTTGTGGTAATTTTCAAATCAATTATGAATAATCAATACTTTAAATGTATTACATGGGCCAACCAGTGCTAGGTGACGGGTTAATAACATATTTTGAATTTTTTACCAAATTTTCTTGGGATTTTAAATAGTGGTGGTCAAGTTAAATCCAAACCAGATTATATACATATTAATAGATTTAGCGGTTCAGCCGTAAATCTAGGTTGGATATAAAAAATAACAAACACAATTATAAATGTATTAGCTAGGCTACACAATTCTAAAACATGTGATTTTTTAGTTATCAAATCTTTATTTTTTATAAATAATTTTTTAAAAGAAACGGTTCAACTGTTGATCCGACTTATAAAAAATGGTCAACACAATTATAAATATAATATGCAACAAATTTTAAAACAAATAATTTATAGTTACCAAATATTTATTTTTTATACAAAATTATTTTAGATGGAAATAAATCCCGCGGTCGAGATCTAGTATAGTTTTAAAATTTTATTCTCCAACAACAATTATTTTAGGAATCTAGTATTGACCTTTCAGTGCTGCTGCAATAGTCTCTGTTTTTATTGTTCCTCTATAGATAAAAAGGTACAGTTGCAAGAGAATGTAATCTAAATACAAACAAGCAATACAACAAGGTTATCTTTCTCTCTCAAAAGTTACAACAAATTTAGCTGGAAGAAAAGGGATCTATGACGTTGGAAACACTCCTAAACCCTAGATACTGTCCATATCACATCCCTTTTTTCTATCTCCTCCTCTTCTTTGAATGCTTTAGTTTCCGAAGAAGCCAGGACCAGCTCGGGACAGCAGCTCTTGCCCAGCGTCTTTTCCCATCTTGACCATGTCTTCAAACACATACGGACCTTTTCTTGAGGTCTCAAGAACTGTCACAAAGATTAGACATATAAGAAATGAATGTTGTTTCTCAGATAAGAAATGTATAGTAACGTTTTCATACCTCGAGTACCATCAGGAGAAGCAACTAAACCTCTGAAATAACAGTTGCCTTCTTCATCCTTGGCAGCGTATCCAGCAATAGGAGTACGGCATGAGCCATCAAGCGTCTCAAGAAACGCTCTCTCGCATGCAACCGCTAGCCTTGTCTCCTCGTGGTTCAGCGAGGCCAAGTAACTTGCCTACATATGTAAAACAACAAATACACAAGCATATCAGAGATGCAAATCCAAAAGTAAAACATCATCAGAGAGCTTGACATTAACCATTTTATCATCATCTGTTCTGCAGGCAATTCCTATTGCTCCTTGAGCAACAGCTGGAAGCATCTCATCAAGAGATAAGACTGATGCAACGTTCTCTGTCATGCTCAACCTCTTGAGACCAGCTAACGCCAATAGGGTAGCATGGACTTTTCCTCCTTGGAGCTTTGATAGTCTTGTCTGCACATTCCCTCTAAAGTTTTCTTCAACCTGCAGAAAGATAATGAAGTCATAAGAAACAACAAAATAAGAAACATCAGTCCCTTCACTAGTGAAAACTTACAGCTAATGAAGGATACTTGTGGAGTATCTGAGACTTTCTCCTGAGAGAAGCTGTTCCAACAATGCTTCCAGCTGGAAGCTCAGCTAATGAAGCTGCAGTCAGACAGATAAACGCATCTCTGACATCTTCACGCACAAGGTTACACGGCAAAATTGTGTTCTCAGGTAGATAAGTAGGGACATCCTTCATCGAATGGACTGCTATGTCGATATGACCGTTTATCAACGCCTCGTCTATCTCTTTGGTGAAAAGTCCTTTCCCACCGATATCAGCAAGAGGCTGAGAGAGAATCTTGTCACCAGTGGTTTTGATAATCTCTATATGAATCGCTCCTTCTTCAGTGAGTTCCTGGTGCTTTGCTTGGAGCTTTGCTCGTGTCTCGTAGGCTTGAGCAAGAGCTAAAGGACTGTCCTACACAGTGAGAGAGTATATAAGCAGAAAAAAAACAAAGATGACAAATACTCACCAGAGGCTAAACTCAATCCACCAGTAATGCAATACTAATCCACCACATTTCATCTCTAATAATACTAATCACATCAGAGCCAAAATCAATCCACCAGTAATGCAATTCGAATCAAATACTAATCCACCACATGCCATCTCTAATCACAATACTAATCACATCAGAGCTAAACTCAATTCACCACTACTGCAAAACTAAATCACAAGACAAGATTTTAGCTACTAGAAACAAAGAAACAACGCAGAGATTGTCTAAGGAGAACCACAAGCACCACATTTCATCTCTAAACCGTCCAAACATCTACATAAACACGCCATGTGATTGACACTGTCCACTATAACTCACTCAAACTTATGAAGCTGATCCAAAACAGAGGACTGATAAAAATCGAGACTTTGAATCATAACTAAGTAAACCAAAGCAAACCCATTACAATCCAACCGTTCATAGACTCAGAACAGATCATTAAACCATACGAGAAGCAAAAAAAAAGAAAAGAGAAACTTTACCTTCCCCTTGTACCAATTCTGATGATAGCAGTTCGTGTCTTCTCTTCCACAGCAACACAAGCTCTAACAACGCCAAAAGAGCTCCCTTTCCGGCGACATTTATCTAGAGACGGAGAGGTGATCTGAGGAAGCGAGAATCCGATGACGGAGACAGAGTTGACCGGAGAAGAGGGTTGACGACGCAAGAGAGAGACTTTGTGAGCTTGATGGAATGAGGAGGAAGAAGAGATATCCATTGGATTCCGAAGAGCAGAGGAGTTGAGAGAGAGATTTAGAGGGAAAAAAGATGAGAGTGGAGAGCTTCAAAAATGGAATTTGATAGCTCTCTTCTGATCTCTACGTAGATTTTTGGATAGGATAGTTAGATTTTACCGATGTAATCCTCTACGGTAACCCTTACAAGAGCTTCGTGTTCTAATACCTTTTTCCACCGTCCATTTTTTAAATCTCGTTGACTCATACTTATTGGGCGCGAACTTTTGCTCTCATGGGCCTAGGCCCAACTTACTATGAAGCCTTTTCCACCGTCCTTTTTTAAATTCTTTCTTATTAGGCCTAACTTAAGCGTACAGCTAGCCCAAAACAGTCTGCTCTCGGGTCGGGTCGGGTCATAATAGTCGGTCATCGTCGTCATTAAAAGATTAGGGCACGAAGAAGTAGTGAAATCGAAACGGATCGAAATCGTTTCTAGAGAAGAGACGAAACGATGTCGTACCTTCTACCGCACTTGCATTCCGGGTGGGCCGTTGATCAGGCGATCCTAGCCGAGGAAGAGCGTCTCGTCGTCATACGTTTCGGCCATGATTGGGATGAAACCTGTATGCAGGTAATATATATGTTTCTTCCCTCTTCAATTTTGATTATATTTCAATTCCTTAATTATCTGGTTCTATAAAGTTACGATCTTTTGTTTCGATTGCTTGAACTGCTTAAGCTATTAGTGTCTTCCTTAGCTTGGAACTGATGAGAATTAGGATTTTTTGTGACGATGATTTTGTTTGCATTTAGAAATTTTAAGCCTTTAGTGTCTTCCTTAGCTTGGAACTGATGATAATTATTGTTTTGTTACGTGTTAGTGTTATTGTCTGATTCGATGATTTGTTTATTTTTAAGCCATTTGTGTGTTGTTTAGCTCGGAACTGATGAGAATTAGGGTTTTGTTGTGGTTTCGTGTTGTTTTCTGATTCATTGATATGTTAGCATTTTTGGTTTTAAGCCATTATGGTGTTGTTTTGCTTGGAATTGATGAGAATTAGGGTTTTGTTACGTGTTAGTGTCGTCGTCTGATTAAATTGATTTTGATTTTTTAGATGGATGAGGTGTTGGCATCAGTTGCTGAGACGATAAAGAACTTTGCAGTAATATATCTGGTGGACATAAGTGAGGTTCCAGATTTTAACACCATGTACGAGCTCTATGATCCTTCAACGGTTATGTTCTTCTTTAGGAATAAGCATATTATGATAGATCTTGGAACTGGTAACAACAACAAGATCAACTGGGCTATGAAGGACAAGCAGGAGTTTATTGATATCATTGAGACTGTCTTCCGTGGTGCAAGGAAAGGTCGTGGGCTCGTGATTGCTCCAAAAGATTACTCCACCAAATACCGTTACTAAGTACTTAACCCAATACATTGGAGTTTGTTTAAAAAAGCATTGATCAAAACTCTTTCATGTTGAGTGGTTTCTGGTCAGTTGAAATATCCTATGAACGTGTTGCGTATATGCTTTGATGATTTGTGATTCCTGTTTGCTTACTCTTTTCGGCTGTTTGCCATTTATGTATGCAATTGCTTGGAACATGAATCACTGAAATGAATGAGTTTATCTTATCGTGTATAGTATAAGGTTCTTGAATTCTTACCTATGTTTGATTTATTCAGCTGAGAAAATTTTAACTTCTAAAAATATATATTGTTTTGATTATAACCAACCAAAATAATTGCAAGTATTAAAGAGTTAAATTCTAATTAGAGGTATATTTTAAAAAGTATTCATTTGTTTCAAAATGTTCTAACGTTTTCACATTTATTAATAATTTTTTTTAAATTTAAGTTACCAATACATTATTTTTGTAATTAACTATTCCCTATAACTTTTAACTAATAAAATTTTTAAAAATACAATTTAAGTTTACAATTACCATTGATAAATGCATTGAAAATGAAAAAAATATGTATCTTTTTGGAATCAATTTTTTTCTCTAGAATATGGATCTATTTGAAACAGAGAGAGAGTAAAAAATTATATTTTTTAAGTAAAGATGTTTTCTTTAAAGTAAAAATGTTTTTTTTAGGTACTTTTTTAAAACATTTTTATCTTTCTAAAACACAAAATATTTTGGAAACCAAAGGAGTACATTTTTGAAGATTATTAAATAGCAGAATATAAGAGAAAAAAAAAAACTAAAAAGGTCCATAATCTAGAAAATTTTGGGTTTGGGCTAAAATTTCAGACAACTGAAGAAGCCTGTTTTGTCGGCTTTTGATCGGCTGATTCTTCAAACGACCCTCGCTGACATTTCTTTTGCATCATTTCCGTTTTTGCCTTCACACAGTTTAGGGTTCCACACGTTAATTCAGATCGGAGAGAACCAAGAAGAAAAGCCAATCATGTCTAGACAAGTCGCAAGGCTCATCGGATCTCTGTCATCAAAAGCTCGCCGTTCTGAAGTTTTTCCGTCATGCCAGACTCTCAGTTCGTTGACCCAATCTCGCTCCTTCGGGTCGGATCCTCCTGCGGCGGTCTTCGTTGACAAAAACACAAGAGTCATGTGTCAAGGCATCACTGGAAAGAACGGGACTTTCCACACTGAACAAGCCATTGAGTACGGCACTAACATGGTAAAAAGTCATGACCTTTAATTATCACTGTGCACGATTAGGATCCATAACATCTTTAATTATTCGTTTCTGCTAGATAGATTCTAGTGTCCCAATAAGCTCTTATTGATCCTGGAGTGTTTATTTTATTTAAAGGTTGTGGCTTTAGGCTTATTTTGTTTGTGTGTGTGTGTGTTGATTATGTAATATAGGTGGCAGGAGTGACACCAAAGAAGGGTGGAACAGAACACTTAGGTCTCCCTGTTTTCAACTCTGTTGCTGAAGCCAAGGCTGAGACCAAAGCCAATGCCTCTGTTATTTACGTTCCTGCGCCTTTCGCTGCTGCTGCTATTATGGAGGGTATACAAGCTGAGTTGGATCTTATTGTGTGCATTACTGAAGGAATCCCTCAACATGACATGGTAAATTATCATCATCATCAATCATAATGCCTTTGATTCTGTTAGTTATTATTGCATAGGCTTGTATACTTATGAAAATTGTGATTTTTTTTCTTATTTTAAGGTACGTGTAAAGCATGCTCTTAACAGTCAGTCAAAAACTAGGCTGATTGGTCCGAACTGCCCTGGAATTATCAAGCCTGGTGAGTGCAAGATTGGAATCATGCCTGGATACATCCACAAGCCTGGGAAGATTGGGATTGTCTCTCGTTCTGGAACCTTGACTTATGAAGCTGTAAGCTCTTTTTCTTTACGTTTTGCCGTTGATGTTTTGTTCTTTCTCTCTCAATCTTAAATGGGTTGTTGCTTTCGTTTTTTAATGTAATGCAGGTTTTCCAAACAACTGCAGTTGGACTAGGCCAGTCTACTTGTGTAGGAATTGGTGGGGATCCTTTTAATGGGACAAACTTTGTTGACTGCTTGGAGAAGTTCTTTGTTGATCCTCAGACGGAAGGTAAAGTTTCTGAACTCATGGTAACTTATCTGTTTCATTTTTTTTCCGGAAAACATAGAGTTTTCTGAATAGAATAACCTTAAAAGATTTAGAATAGCAACCATAGGCTCACGTTATCACTTTAGACTGCAAGATTCTTGTATTTAGAAGGCTTCGGTTTCTTTAGTTCCTCTCTCTTCTAAGTGTAGTTAGTAGCTCAAGTGAAAAAGATCTTCCTTAAGAAACAGGTGTCTGTTTCAGGTATCGTTCTCATTGGAGAAATCGGAGGCACTGCAGAAGAAGATGCTGCAGCTTTGATAAAGGTAATATAACCAACTGCGAATCTCTCTTCCACTTCGGTCCATCTATCTATTCACAACTCAACTACTTTTTGGTTGAATATAAACAGGAAAGTGGTACTGAGAAGCCTGTTGTTGCTTTTATTGCTGGACTCACTGCACCACCTGGTCGTCGAATGGGTCATGCAGGAGGTATTTTCATAAGCAAGCCATCTAAGTATCTAACACTTACTTTGATTCGTTGCTCTCATTTTGCTGCTTTTGTTTGTTGCAGCTATTGTTTCCGGTGGCAAAGGGACAGCTCAAGACAAGATTAAGAGTCTAAACGATGCAGGAGTGAAGGTTGTTGAATCTCCTGCTAAGATAGGAGCGGCAATGTATGATCTCTTTGAAGAAAGAGGTCTTTTGAAGCAGTGAAGTTGAGTTTTACACTCACTAGCTCACGTTTTTTTTCCCTTCTTCTTGGAACCTTCAAGAAGAAAACCAAAAAAAAAAACCCTAATTCATCAACCGTTGATGGATGATGCACATTCTTTTGGGGTTGTTTTTCTAATTCGATGATAATCAGAAGATTCCACAATGAGAAGATAACAACAGCTTTTGTTTACATTCTGGATTTTGAATAAATCGAAATTGCTTTGAAATTTCATTACATTGGGCTATTGTCTAATTATAACTTCCACTACAAGAAATCCAAAGTTTAGGTCAAAAAATCAAGGAAAACCTTGCTATATCATATGATTAAGAACAAATACAATTATAGTTCTCATTAAAGTCACTATCAACACTGAGATCCATCCAAGTACCAACCAGATGTAACGCAGTGTAGATCTTCTCAGACTCTAAATGCGTTTTGTCATGAGCTATGAATCTGTATTGTGTTCCATCCAAATCAATTATACTATGTCCTGCAACTTTTTTCACTCCTTTCTTGTCCATTGATTCTCTCATAGACCTCGCCGCTCCAAACCGCTTATTGATCGCATAAACGTTTGCTAACCCCACATATCTTCCATCATTATCCGGTTGCAGCACCACAAGCTTCTTCCCAACCATTTCCGCAAGCTCCCAGTTCCCATGGTTTATACACCCATTAAGCAACGCACCCAACATCGAACCGGTAGGTTTCATCGGCATTTCTGATATAAAACCATATGCGTCTTTCACTAAACCAGCACGGGAAAGCACGTCGACCATACACGCATAATGCTCACTCTTCGGTTCTGCTCCACTTTTCTTGAGTCTCCTAAACAAATACCAAGCTTCTTTCACTAACCCTCCATGTGAACAAGCAGCAAGCAAGCACAAGAACGTTATCTCATCCGGTTCAAACTCAGATTCTTGCATTTTGTAAAACAGTTGGAGCGACTCTCTTATGAAACCGTGACTAGCAAGCCCTCCAATCATAGCATTCCACATCAACACATCTGTCTCCTCAACGCTCACTCCACAAAACACCCCCCAAGCGTCTCCTATCGACCCACACTTCGCATACATATCAATAAGAGACGTCTGCAACATAACTGTCAAAGGCAAACACTTATCAACTATATACCGATGCACCGCCTTTCCTCGGCTTAACGCACCCAAGTGAGCACAAGCGCACAAGACACTAACCATAGTAACTTCGTTCCCCTTTACGTTACTCACTCTCATCATCTCATCAAATACTTCAAGAGCTTCGTCATACTCTCCGCTCTTCACATACCCATCCACCATAGAACTCCAAGACACAACATCTCTCTCAGTCATTTCATCGAACACCCGTCTCGCGGAAACAACATCCCCGCACTTCGCGTACCCGTCCAAGATAGAGTTCCAAGTCACCAAATTCTTATCAGGCATTTCATCGAACACCTTGCGTGCAGAAACACTATCTCTCAACGAACCGTACATATGGATAAGAGAGTTACATATATACAAATCCCACACAAACCCATTTTTTAAAACGGATGAATGCAACGAACCACCAATTCCTCTGTTCAATAGACGAGAAGTCGATTTTATGAGAAACGGATAAGTCATATGATCCGGTGAGAATCCGTTTCTCAACATCTGGATATAGGCATGGATCGTCTTCTCGGGGGTTTTACTATTGGAGAAGCCACGTATCACGAAATTCCAGCTGAATTTCGGAGGGTTTGATAATCTTGTCAAGAATCTGTAAGCGTAATCGGTGTTGCCTGAGGGAGAGAGAGCGGAGAAGGAGAGAGCTCTGGAAGCGAAAGGCTCTTCTTCGGAGAGACCGAGTGTGATTACTAGGGCGTGAGTTTTGGTAAGCTCTGACATTGACTTCCATCGGAGAAGAAGAATCGAGTTCGCGAAGAGAGACGATGATGATGATGATGACTTCAACATTCACTTGGCTGGATTTTTGATTTCGTTTATGTTTCGCGAGAATTGGTTTTGTTTCATGTGTTTTGAATAATTGTAAATGAAGCCCTGATGTTTTTAAAACAGGACGAATGACCCTGCTTAAATTTGTTATCGTTTAAATAACCCGGAGAAAGTTACGCAGGTAAGTGTTTTTTTTTTCCGGCTAAATGATTTTATTGATTAGATGTCAGTATAAATGTTATTATTGTACAAGAAAGATGGACAAGATTGGAATAAACTCCAATCAGTCGGAGACACAATCGATTTTTTTTTTTTTTTGGTAAGTGATAAGGGACAAGAGCCCCTTACTTTTTATTCAAAAATCAAAGAATTACAAGCAAAACTGACGAGTTCTTGCAACCCCATGAGAGTCATCCGACAAAATGGGAACAACATGCTCAGGAGCAAGTTCAAAATAATGTAAACCAAAAGGTAAAACGAACGCATAGTTAGCTAATTTATCTGNTTTTTTTTTTTTTGGTAAGTGATAAGGGACAAGAGCCCCTTACTTTTTATTCAAAAATCAAAGAATTACAAGCAAAACTGACGAGTTCTTGCAACCCCATGAGAGTCATCCGACAAAATGGGAACAACATGCTCAGGAGCAAGTTCAAAATAATGTAAACCAAAAGGTAAAACGAACGCATAGTTAGCTAATTTATCTGCTAGACAATTAGCCTCCCTATACACATGAGAAATCTTGACTGACCAGTCTCTTGATATGAAGCCATAGCACAACCGTACTAGGAACGACAGGGGGTGAGAATCATGAATCCCCGTCTGAAGAAAGCCCGCAACACACATGGAGTCCACCTCCACCTCTAGTTTCCTGATCCCATTAGCCCATGCGATATAAAGGCCATAATAAACACCCCATAATTCCGCCAAAGGGGCTGTGCAAATACCAATATTTATCGCAAACCCTCCTTTCCATGTCCCGTGTTCGTCACGCATAACCCCCCCTGCCGTAGCCAAACCAGGGTTACCTTTCGAAGCTCCATCCGTATTCAACTTGCACCATCCATTCTCCGGCCTGCACCATTTAACCAGCCTCGCCTCACGTACACCACCAGCCGGGTTCTGTCTCAATTTACTATGACATTGTATCACCTCTTGAGTCTTGTCTTTAATAAATTTTACCCGATCTCGACATTTCCCTGTTTCACCAAACACGTATCCACACCTCCATTTCCAACACCACCACACAGTCAAAGCAAACATTGTAGGCCAGCTCTCTCCATTAGCCGAATTATCCTGTGTAAGATTCTCATACAACCACTCTACAAGTGATTTGGCGAAGAAGCCCTGTTGTCGCCTTGGAGACACAAGTTTCCGCCATAGTCCCATTGCTGCAGGGCAGTCCCGGAGAACATGAATAATTGTTTCATCACCATTTCTACACAACTGGCACATTCCGTTATCGCTCAGATGTCTCCGTTGCCTCTCCATGTTTGTCATAATAACTTGATGCGAAACCAACCATAAGAAGACTCTAACTCGCTCCGGTACCGTAACATGCCACACTTGCTTGTAAAAACCCTCCATGTTTGGTCTCGGTGTCTCATCTTTTGTCAAAAAGGCATACGCCGATTTCACAGAGAAGACTCCATCGTTGCTTCCCCTCCACGTCATTCTATCGCTAGCCCCTGTAACTTTATCAACCATCACTGAAGCTAATTGTAACTTGTGATTCATCGACATATACGGCTCAAGCTGTTGTAATGACCAACCTGTCTGATCCTGCCATAGATCACAAACCTTTGCCTCCAATATTTCTTCCGGAATATTCACCGTGCTCACATCCTGTAGAGTTTCATTCAACAACCATTTATCTTTCCAGAAGCGTACTTGACGACCATCTCCTATTATCCAACCAGTACCTTGAACCACAACTGCTCTAATTCCCAGCACTATACTCCTCCAAGTTGGTGACCAACTCCCCCGCGGCACCAGCCATGACGATTCATGGATCTCTCCTACCCAGAACTTGTTGCGTAAAACTTGCATCCACAATCCATCCTGTATATTTAACAACCTCCATCCAAGTTTTGCTAGGAGAGCAATATTCATTTCTTTAGCAGAGCGTATACCAAGTCCCCCCTCTCTCTTAGGTTGACAAATTTTTTCCCAAGATATCAGATGTTGCTTCCTATTGCCTTCACTGCTCCCCCAGATGAACGCTCGAGCAATTTTATCTAGCTGAGACACGGTCGACATAGGTAGAGCTATCGAGCTCATAGTGTGGACCGGGATTGACAAGAGGACAGATTTAGTCAGAGTAATTCTTCCCGCTANCCCCCCTCTCTCTTAGGTTGACAAATTTTTTCCCAAGATATCAGATGTTGCTTCCTATTGCCTTCACTGCTCCCCCAGATGAACGCTCGAGCAATTTTATCTAGCTGAGACACGGTCGACATAGGTAGAGCTATCGAGCTCATAGTGTGGACCGGGATTGACAAGAGGACAGATTTAGTCAGAGTAATTCTTCCCGCTAAACTTAGGGATCTCCTCTTCCACCCTGCTAGTTTAGAAGAAACCCTCTCAATGACTGTCCCAAAAGTCTCTTTGTTAATTCTTTTCTGCAGCACCGGCATCCCTAGATACTTTCCCAACTCCTTTGTACCTTTAATTCCGCTCTCATAGCTGATCAAATTAGCTAAATCTCGATGAACATTTTCTGAAAAGAAAATTAGAGATTTCTCCAGGCTAACTTTTTGTCCCGAGGCCCCACAAAACTTCTCTAAAACCTTCCGTATTACTCGAATCTGCGCCACTGAAGCTTCTGCAAACAAAATCAGATCATCCGCGAAGCAAACATGGGATAGAGCTGGTCCCCCTCGAGATAGCTTGATGGGTTTCCAATCCTTATTTGCGACAGAAAGGTCAATCTGATGGCATAGTCTCTCCATACATAACACGAAGAGGTATGGGGATAAGGGATCTCCCTGTCTGAGACCACGTTGAGGAGTGAATGCTTCTGTTTTCTCCCCATTCCATAGTAGACTCATCCCTGGATTCATCACGCACTGCATAATCCGTCTAATCCATGTGTTTGGTAACCTCGCAGCCAGTAGGGTGTCTTCTAAAAAATCCCACCTGATACGATCATAAGCCTTCTCCAAGTCCAACTTCAGCAACATCCAACCCTTCTTTCCTTTTTTCCGACGCATGGAGTGAACCGCTTCCTGGACTACAACAATATTGTCTGTGCTGAGTCTACCCGGAATGAAACTCGCCTGTGCTGGACCAATCAGTTTGGGCATTAGTTTCTTCAATCTCAACACCATCGCCTTCGTTATTGTCTTAAACAAGACGTTACATAAACTGATAGGTCGAAATTGCATAATCTTCTCTGGTTTAAGCACTTTTGGTATAAGAACCACCATTGCATCATTCATCCCATCCTTTAGAAGACCTGATTCAAAAAACTCCATACCACAACGAATCACAGATTCTCCCACCACCTCCCATGATTCTTGATAGAAGACCGGCTGAAAACCATCAGGCCCTGGAGCTTTAAATTTTCCCATCGATCCAATAGAAGACTCCATCTCCTCTGCCGAGAATGGTTTGTTCAAAATCTCCTGCTCCTCTCGTGTGAAATCCGTGAAACCATGCTGCGATAATTTCTCCGGATGGAGAGGAATATCTTCAGTAGAGTAAAGTCTCTTATAATAATTTATAGCTAGTTTCTCCAAGTCTTCCGGCTTGTCAATCCAAATGCCATCCTCATCTTTTAGCATCTCAATTCTATTCCTCTTCCGCCTCACAATGGTAGTTGTGTGATAGTATGATGTGTTCCTGTCCCCAAAGACTATCCATTTCTCGCGTGACTTCTGGTACCATAACACCTCTTCTTGTTCTAAGACAACATCGAGTTCTTTTTGAACTTCTTCCTCCCTCGCTAGTAGCAAATCCGATGGGTTTCTCTCCACTTCCTCCTGAATTCTCTTAATCTCATCAAGCAGCTTCTCCTTTCTTTTTATCACATCTCCAAAAATCTCTTTGTTCCACTTCTTCAGCTTCGCTGTCAGAGATATTAGTGCTTCTGGGGTACTAATCTCTCTATTCCAAGAAGTTAAAAGTAGCTCCTTGAAACCGTCATGCTTAAGCCACGCAGCTTCGAATCTGAACGGTCTCCTTCTTGGGTCTCCTCTATGCTCTGGTTCCAGTTGGACATAGACCGGCGCATGATCTGAGGCTAAGAAAGGCAGGTGAGATACCACTGCCTCTTGCCATCTTACGCGTGCCTGCGCACTACATAGAACTCTGTCAAGCCGCTTCGCCACAAAATTTCGTGTGTCTTTACCTCTTTTCCAAGTGAAAGTGTTTCCTTTAAAACCCATGTCCACCAAAGCTAAGTCATTTATCCAGTCACCAAACGCCAAAGAATCTGGTGATAGTCTACCGTTGCCTCCAGTACGCTCGTCCAGCCTGAGAATAGTGTTGAAATCTCCACCTACCATAACTGGTTCATCAATATTTTCCAACACTCGTTTCAACTGCCCCCAAAGACCACTCCTGCGACTAACCGTAGGAGCCGCGTAGACGGCAAGAATGTGTATGATCTCTGTCCCAAACACCACCTTCGCGTGGACAAATTGGTCCGACGATTCCAAAATCGTGATCACCCCCGTTTGATCTCGCCATAAGATCCAAATCCCTCCACTCTGACCAGTGGCGTCCACCCGAAAAGAGCTGTCAAAACCCAGATTCTGACAAATCTTCAATGCTCTATCTCCACCCGCATGTGTTTCAAATAAAGCTAAGAAATCAGTCTTGTACCTCTTCAGGATATACCTAATAGATCTTCTGAAGTTAGGTTTATTTGCCCCCCGGCAATTCCAGAATAAACAATTCATCATTATGATTCTCTCAATGCTCGATTGAATTCCCGGGGCACTCCGTTATGCCAAGGAGATGACCTCTTCATCCCCCTGCAGACCCGTTCTTTCATCAACCATCTGCTCCTCAATCTCGTTTCTCCTAGATTCCATCGGATTCTCCACATCTTCATCACACAATTGAAGGGGCTTCTGCATACGACTCGTCCCGACATTATCTCTAAAAACTCCTCCAGGTCTCCCTGAGACACAATCGATTTTTTGCTAATAAGTCAGCAGGGCCATTATGGTAAGTACTTAATCCGGTTTGTTTTGACTTTTTTTTTTTCGTTAATATTTTTCTTTTATCGAAAATTCGTTTGAAACCATTACATCATATAATAAATTCAATAACAAAAAGAACTCCACACTGAAATTAGTGTAGACAATCATTCATCACTACCATTATGATCTTATTAGAGTTTTTTTTTTTTTTTTTTTTGGATTAATAAGGTTCTCAATACGTATATGAATTATATTATTTTTCTTAATTAGGTCACTACTTTCCCACCAATGTCAGCAAGCGGCTGAGTCTATAGAATCTTGTCACCGGTTGTTTTGATGATCTCTATATGATGAATAGCTCCATCCTATAGTTGCAAGTGCTAGAGGACTGTCCTACACAATGAGAGTACATATAAAACGAAGATGACAAATACTAATCAGAGGTTAAGCTCAATCCACCAGTAATGCAATACTAATCCACCACATTTCATCTCGAGTCACATCAGGCTAAACTCAATCCACCAGTAACAGAGGACTAGTCAAAATCGAGATCTTTGAATATCAGAACTAAGTAAACCAAGTGATGATGAGCATACATATTTGTCAAATCTAACACAAATATTTGTCACGACTCAAGTAATCACAACATATAGAAATGGCGTCTGTATAATTTATGATAAATGAAACCTTCAAAATAGGTGGACACCCGATTTGCATATATATATATATATATGTATATATATTCAACATTGCTAGTTTCCGAGGCAGACACAATAAAAAGTTTCAAATGAAGTCAAATGTAGGAGCATAAAATAAAATGTGAAAAGAAAGCTTTGTATACATCATCAATAAGACAAAGAAAAGCATGATTATAAATGTTAAATTACAATGAAGTAGACATAGAGATTAGTTAGGTGAAACAACGGAGAATAAACTATCGAAATGAGAAACGGGATAGCCAAAGACGCCCCCGGGTGAGAAAACGTTATGATAATTATTGGCATGGAGATCAAGCATCACCATTGGTTGGTCAAGTGCAGGACCAAACAGTAACTTGTTATTCTTCTCCAGAAGAGCTAATGGCAATGCAACGGGTAGTGGAAGATAAGGAAGCTCCTCAGGCACAGAAAAGGTTTTAGTGAGATCAATTGTACACATTTCCTTCCACGTTGTGTTGTTGTGTAACGACCATATAACTTGGGCGGGCCAGTTTCTTTGGGATAGGCACAAGGTGTTGTTGAGGATGCACATGACGACTTGGCAAGGTTCAGGTATATGGGAAAAGGGAGCTTTACAGATGACTTGAAAAGTTTCAGTGTGAAGATCAAAAGATAAGAGCTTGGAGCACTCGGTTAACCAGAAAAGAGACCCATCAAAATACACAGGCTTCAGGCCATCCAAAATCCGATACGGACAAGAAGGGAGAACGTACCTCCAAGCATTAGTGCTAAAGTCAAAAACCTCACAAGTAGTAGCTGTAGCCTTGTCTAGGCCAAATTCAGATGAATTACATAGCCAGACGGGTTTGTATGTACCCGTGAATTTGTCTTTGCCGAATCCAAGTTGATTGTTTGGGGCTTCCCACGCTCCGTTTTTATACATGGTAGAGAGGAGCTGTTGGACTCTAGAAAGAGGGAAACTTCGATGCCATCTAGTCGCGGGATTCGCTACCATGTTTGGTGTGTGGACAGTAAAGAGGCATATAAGACCATCACAACTACCATGGCAAACCTTGGTGTTGCGAATAGATGAGAAGTTGAGCATACGAACAAATATTGACGAAGACCCCAACAAGATTCTCCACTCAGCTTCATAGTGGTTCTTACTGTTCTTGGTCACGTAAAGAATATCTGGACCTCCTCGCGATTGCTGCGATTGCCTCAACTGTGCCTCTTTAAACCTACGAGACTCGATTGTGGATTTCCACTGCTTCGATACACATTTAAACCTCAGCAGAGACTTCACAGGTAGTCTCGAGAGGATGAGCTCTACAACATCGTGCGGTAGCGATTGCGATTGCGATTGTCTCCGATGTCTTCTCAGCATCATTGTCTAACTAATTGACCTTAACAGACAGGTAGGTCGCTTTCTTCTTTTTATACACTGCACCACCAGAATCGGAATATTTCCCATTTAAACTCTCTATCGAAATTTTGATTATCCAATCGTAAAATCAAAAACAAAAAAATACAAAGACTTCCGCTTTACCTACCTTTTTATTCTGGGATGTTGCCGAAGCGGCGAAGAGAGACAGGTATCTTCTTCTTTTTTTCCTGATACTTGTTTTCCAATTAAGATTGATCGCAGATTTAATGTAATACTAGATCATAACCCGCCCGACTGGGCGGGTCTTTATTTTTATGGTATAGATAACATTTCAAAGTTACAGTTTAATGGTTCCAATTTTACTAAGTAATAGTATATTGTTTAAACATTGTATTTCATTATTGTATTGTGTAACAGGGGCGTCGTAAAATGTTGTGACCCGTAAACATTTTAGTAATAGTTAATAAAGTTTTTTGACTAAATTTGGTGTAAAGTTATATACACTAAATAATTTAGTCAAATTTTTAATTTAATTTTTAATGAAGAATTGGAAGGCTAGTATATCACTGTTAAAAACTTATAAGAATAGTCAATATAAATTATATAAATAAAATATATATTATTTTTGATTTATTCTAAATACATTTAAAACATGAATACATATATGTATAAATAATTTGTAGAAATAAAGTAATATCAATGATAGAAAATTCAAAAACAATAATAATGGTACCTTGGGCCGCAGTAATCTTTAGTATGATAAATAAGCCCATTAAATTTGTATGCTATCCATGTTTCCAATCAAACTTTTAAAATTTTCTTATCCATGTTTCCAAACACTTTATTTTTGTACTTCAGCTTTAATAGTATAGATTTTTCTTTCTTATATTTACTTATTATTTAAAATAAATTTTATGATTTAAAATTTGGAAAACACACACCCCTTTTCTTTCAAACTATACCTTTTTTTTATTATATGTGTAAAATAAATTTATCTTTAGTGAGAAATTAAATTTTTAACTAATCCATATCTAAATTTGAATTTATTATTATTATTAGATATTTTGATCAATACTTGTTAATATTTTAAAATAATAAATCAACAAATCTCATGAAATATTTTTACTTTTTTTATTTATTTAAATTTTCTTGTATTTTATAATTTTTACTAAAACAACTTTTGTTATTAGATCATGAAGATGTTACATAATCATTGTGCAAAGCCCGTGATTATGTTTGGAGGTACAAAATGATGAAAATAAAAAAAAGTACACTTGGACCCCTCTAGGTCCATTGATCAAAAACCATCGGCTACACTGGCCTTAGAAGACTTCGTATAAGGCTCAATGAAAATGTGTCTCAGGCCTGTAATGAAATAGGTTGGTGCTTACCTCATCCGCGGTCTGACCAGGAGGTTTCGCTCCATGCTTTCATCCTGGACAAACCTCTGCCCTCACTAGTTACAGAAGATTGCTTCAGTTGGCGAATAAATGGTGAAGAAGGAAAATTCTCTGCTGCTAAAACATGGGAAGTTCTTCGACCAAGAGCTGCAAAACAAGACTGGGCAGATCATATATGGTTCAAAGTAGCAACTCCAAAGCATACTTTCAACATGTAGATAGCCCACTTGAATAGACTACCAACAAAGGATCGCCTTTCCAGCTGGGGAATGCAAATTCAAACGTCTTGCTGTCTCTGTACCATTGCTTCTGAAACAAGAGATCATATTTTCATAATTGCCCTTATGCTCTGTTTTTGTGGAATGAGGTTTTCAGGAGGCTGGGTGCTCCTCGCTCTTCTCTAGTAACATGGACTGATCTAATGTCATGGCTGATGTCAAGTTGTACTCGTGCCTCTAAAACATTGAAAATGCTTGTGGGTCAAGCCGTTATATACAGCATTTGGAGACAGAGAAACAATGTTGTCTTCAATCAGCCGCTCTTACCTCCTCAGGTGTTATTCAAAGACATCAACAGTCAGGTTCTTAACACAATCCATGCAAGGAAAAGAAGGAAGAATTTCAAGAGATTCATGTCTCGATGGTTGATATGATTTTCATAATTGCAAATTAATAGGAGTCTCTTATGACTCAGACCAAAATAGCTATGTTTTTTGTTTCTTTTTGCCAGAGTCTATTTCTGTTAGGCAGTGCTTGTGCAGAGAACTACATCTTCATTTTTAATGAAATTAACATTCTAAAAAGACATTCAGTGTGCAGCAAAACTCCAAATCATGTTTCTAGATTGTTTTGTCTTTATCTACTTTCTGTCATTCTTGGTAGCTGTTCATTTTTTTTTTAACACATTCTTCATTCATAACTTAAACGTTTACATCGACAAAGACAACATTGAACATACAATGTGTGGTCCTTTTGGAAATTTCAAGAGCAAAGAATATAAAGATAGAGATACAAATTTAGACAAGTTTGATAGAGTGTCAAAATTTAATTCAAATGAGCCACTCGCAAATAATCTCATGGAAAAAGTACTGCGTCCTTCAAAATTTTCAGATTTGGAAATAGTTACCGTATATCGTGATATATCGTGACGTTGAGCGCTCTACAACCTCGAGTCTCACCGGGATGAGTCTCGTCATATCTTCCGGTCCCAAACGAACCATTACACAAGATAAAAAGCGGTTAGAAAAACGAGAATACTCATTGACACCAAGAGAAAAGTACCTCTCAAAAGGAGGAGTTTTGATGGAAAGATTCACTCCTACACAGAGGAGGATGGGAGAAAAAGATCTCTCATGGCCCCGGCATGAGGAAATTTGGCTACCCATTATTGTAAAGAAAATGGCTGAGGGACTGCAATCTTGAATCTTCAATAGACTCTGACCAAATGATGGTAGTGAATCCATACTTGTTCTTGTCAGAGATAAACGTTGCTGATGAATTTTGTTTGAAGTTTCTGGATTAGTTCCAGAGATTGCACCAGGAACTCAACGACCACAAGATAGATGTGCAGATTTTGGCAGTGGATAGCACAATATTAATGGTAGCTGTTCATTAATTCAACGAATTTAGTACTGGATACTGTTTGGCTCTAACTGGTAACCATCACGGGAATATCAAGAACAAATAGGAATATAATAGATGGGAATAAAATTATGGGAATGAAGAGGAATAACTATTCCTTATCAAATTTAATAAGGAACAAATGTGCTTAATAAATCTCTACAATAAAAGGAATGATGAGGAATAAAAAGGAAAAACTATTCCTTATGAATGGTAAATTATTTTAGGAACATTAATGAATGCATTGTTCCTCCTCATTCCTTTGGTCACCATTTATAGCCTTTGTCTTTTTCCGCACACGTGGTTCACATACCAATATTATGATATTCAGGAACATGTAATATCTACCTCGTATTTTTAAATGGTGAGATAGATAAGATAAAGATGCTCAACATTCAAATACATATAGAAATAGATTAAAAGTGTGATAATTTTCATTTTACAAAAAAAAATTAAGTAATTTTTTATAAAGTTGTGACCCGTAAATATTTTAGTAATTTTTTATAAAAAAAAATTTTTGACTAAATTTGGTGCAAAGTTATATACACTAAACAATTTAGTCAAATTTCTAAGTTTATTTTTTAATGAAGAATTGGAAGGCTAGTATATTACTCTTAAAAGCTTATAACAATAGTCAATATAAATTATATAAATAAAATATATATTATTCTTGATTTATAACACGAGTACATATATGTATAAATAATTTTCAGAAATAAAGTAATATCAATGATAGAAAAGCCAAAAACAATGATAATGGTACTTTGGGCCGAAGTAATTTTTAGTTTAATAAGTAAACTCATTAGATTTGTAGGGTATCCTTGTTTCCAATCATCATAATTTTAAGTGCTTCTTATTCATGTTTCCAAACACTTAATTTTTTGTACTTCAACTTTAATAGTATAGATGATAGAAAACCCAAAAACAATGATAATGGTACTTTAGGCCGCAGTAATTTTTAGTTTAATAAGTAAACCCATTAGATTTGTAGGATATCCTTGTTTCCAATTATCATAATTTTAAGTACTTCATATTCATGTTTCCAAACACTTAATTTTTTGTACTTCAACTTTAATAGTATAGATGGTAGTCTTTTCATTAACTTGAGATACCCTATTAATCCCCAAAAAAATGCATAGATTTTGATTTTGGAATGACAAGTCTTACTAGGACCCAAACCGAATAAAGAGTGCTATAATCACAAATCTTTTTATAACTTGGTATCTTTGCCGTATTTTGGGCAATTTAGCTCCTAATCAAAACAAAACAGTCTAAACCTTTTAGAAATGGCAATAAACCACAAGAATAACCAAAAGTTTAGTCCATGTTACGTTGAAGGGAACAAAATATCTATGATCGTGGTTTGCTAAATTTTCAGCAAAAGAGGAGATAAAACGATCCTTATCCTCAACACAAGATGACGCGGATGGTTCTGATTGGTCGAGTAAGTGACGAAAATCTAAGAAGGCATCACCAAGTGAAAGATTCTTGTATGATGAAACACGAGTTGATTCTTCTTTTGTCAGAAGTGTCGCTTTCTTGTATTTTGGTCCACACCCTATAATTAAAGTATTTTTTTTCTTTCTAAATGAGAATGGGCTCCAGCTGTTTATCACATTTGACATTGTCAAATGATTCGTACAACTATGGTAATTGGATGATCATTAGCAATAATTAGTGTTTACAGTTTACAGATTATCGATGCATTTATCCAGCTAACCCATAACTAACCATTTAACACATACTACTACATGCTTCATATTTTGCGTGGGGATCGTCGAACGGAGTGGTTGTACAATTCTCAAAACAATATTCCAGTGTCAGAAAGTACGTACTTGTCATTTTATTAGAGCCATTTGTTATAGAAATACAAAAGCAGAGTGATCTTGAAGGTTTTTAGATGTGAAAATTAATATATTTACTTAGATTAAAATTATATAAAATCAACAAAATCGTAATCTTTCCTGGTGTAATAAAGTCGATTCACCAAATAATTTTTTTTTTTTATAATAGTTGGTGTGACGCTAAGTGGTCTGGAGCGCCACACCAACTCCGCATGTAAATTATGTGGTGACCGGGGTTCGAAGTCGGATGGCGAGCACCTCAGCCGAGGTTCCTTTACCACCAGGCTAGGAAGTCCGATTATTCACCAAATAATTACGTTATTGATTGTCTCTTATCCCACTTCTGTCTCCATGGGCCCTCGACGACTTATCTGTTCAATAACTTTTCAACTATCGTAGAAACCGTAAAGTGAAAACAACTTATATTTATATTGCAAACTAAATTTCCACGATTTCATCCACATTGCCATGAATCAATCCTAATGACTGTGATTAAGCTTCGCCCGCCAATTCCGACAACTAAATATAAATGGGACCCACATTCTAACCCTAAAATAACTTAAATTCTCCTGCCTTTACCGTGGTCCCTACGCTACAGTCAACACCGGAGTCAGCGCGTGAGTATAAACGCGTCCCATACAAAGAAAAAAAAAAAGCCTTCGTATACATGAGCTGTGTGGGGGCCCACCACCAGCCTATGTACCCTACTTCCTGTCTCCACCAGCTCCTCTTTAAATCATTTTATCTCAAAAATTCTCTTTTTATCCCCCCGCCGACACTCTCCATGACGACGAGCAACGACGGAGCAGCGCCTAACGGCGTCATCGTAGAACACACGTCAGCGAGTAACAAAGGAACTCTTAACGCCGTGAAGAAACCTCCGGCTAAGGATCGGCATAGCAAAGTCGACGGGAGAGGGAGACGGATTCGTATGCCGATCATATGCGCGGCTCGTGTTTTTCAGCTTACTAGAGAGTTAGGTCACAAATCAGATGGTCAGACGATAGAGTGGCTCTTACGTCAAGCAGAGCCTTCTATCATAGCCGCCACGGGAACAGGCACGACTCCGGCGAGTTTCTCCACCTCTTCTGTCTCCACTTCTTCCCCTTTCACACTCGGGAAGCGAGGCGTGAGAGGGGGAGAGGGAGAAGTAGGAGGAGGAGGAGGGTTAACAGTTGGACCCACGATGGGGGCTTCTTTAATGAATGGTGGTGGGTTTTGGGCTGTTCCGGCTAGGCCGGATTTCGGACAAGTATGGAGCTTTTCCGGAGCTCCGTCAGAGATGTTGTTTGCACAGCAGCAGCAGCAGCAACCAGCTACTTTATTCATCCGCCACCAGCAACAACAACAACAACAACAACAAGCTTCAGCTGCAATGGGTGAGGCTTCAGCAGCTAGAGTTGGGAACTATCTTCCGGGTCATCATCTTAATTTGCTGGCTTCTTTATCCGGTGGGAATACCGGGTCGGGTCGGCGGGAACAGGATGATGACACACGTTGAAAAAGGGTTGAAAAATTGTGTACGTGCATTATGTCTTCTAATTAAAATGGTTAAAGAGTACTTAATTAATTTGTTGCTCGGATTTTAGTTACAAGTTTCTTGCTTGTTTGATTAGGGTTTTAGGTTTTAATAATATTTGGTCTCAGGATTTCTAAGTGGTAGAGAGAGTGAGAGGCAGTGAGGTCAATTGATTGATAGTAAAAACACCATAAAGAATTAATAGCAAAAAAGAAGAGCTATTTGTACGTGTTGTGCATGATTTATTTTATGGTTCTCGACAGTGGAGTTGAGCCCACTGGAACTATTGAATTGTATATCAATCTCTTGTGAGGTCAAAGGATTGTGATTTTGAATGCTTCTCGTGACTTGTATATGAATGAGAGAATTGAAGATAAGAAAACAGAAAGGTGTATATTAATCTCTTGTGAACTCGACCTTTTTATTTATTATTCGATATACTTTGTGCTTGCTCTCTTTTTGGTAAAACTCTTCTCTTGTATGTTTGTATAAGCTTGGTGATGAAACTGGAAATGATTATCGGACCTTTTTTAAAGGATTTTTTTTGGAAACTGCACGTTAAAGAAAAATAGGAACGTTGTTAATGTTCTAACTATCATAACTTTTTGTTAAAAAAAAACTATCATAACTACTGAAAAAAAACGATTGGTTGGTAATGTGAAACCACGACTTTAGATGCCAATATGATCCGATTCATCACGAGCAATTTACAGTATAAACATCAAGCATTGAAGGTGTTGTCAGTGAGTCTCTCAGACAGTTAAAAAAAAACATAAAATGTCAGAAGGAGATTGATGAGAGTTATCATTTTTAAAAAATTGTGAAAATTCATATAATGTGTTTATACATAAGAGGTCTGAAACATATTTAAAGTACTTAAATTTATTTTAAACTTATTAAAATATTGGCATTGTTGAGTCTAGATAGTCAAGTGTAAAATTCTATCAATAAGATAATCTTAAACATATGAAAATCCTATTTAAACCGGTGAAATCTGATCAAACCGGTCTCGAACCGGTAACCCTTAAAACCCGGTCTCTTTTGCAATTATCGTTCCTGCAAACATGATTTTGACCGGAATCTCCCATCTATGTTATTCAGACAAGGTTCGTTTCTCGGGGGGAGTTTCACAAATCGAACAGAAAGGGATCTCCGTGTCTGAAAAAGGTAAGCCCTTTTATTATTGTCTCAAGCAAAGAATCAAGCTTTTGTAAGTGTAAACTTTCCTCCTCTCCTTCAAAATTCTCGCATTCTCCGTCTCAGCAGTCGTCAAATTTCAAGTCGGTATGTCTCTCATCCTCGTTGTTATTTTGGTGTTCTTCTCTAAGAAACCCAAAATTTTTCAGTTATATACATCTAATCATAACTCCTTGGTTTAGATCTTCGATTCTCATGTAAAAACTCTATCTTGGAACCATATTATCATCATTATTTTAAAATGGATTAAGAAAATTGTAGTTTAGTACGAAGGAGAACATTAAACAAATAACAAACTGTATATCTACAGTTTAAGGTTGATTTGTTACATTGATTGAGCTTAATGTTATTGATATTTTGGTTTAAAGACATCTTAAGTCAAGTTAGAGTTTTTTGGATACTTTGAATGCTTTCTATCTTTGGCTTATTCCTTCCTTAATAGGAGAACATGATGTGTTTATCATCTCTGGTCTGTAACTAATGTTTCCTTTTCAGGTATAAGGGATCAATGATGACAGAGATCTTTAGTGACACAGGATTGAGACAGTTAACACAAATGTTCATGGCGATAATCTTCTTCCACACATCAGAATACATTCTCGCCTTAGCCATTCACGGACCATCAAGAGTAACTCTAAGCTCACTCTTAATCACCAAACACTATGTTTTAGCAATGCTAGTCTCACTCCTCGAGTACCTAATCGAGATAACTCTCTTCCCGAACCTGAAACAACACTGGTGGATCAGCAACTTCGGTCTTGTAATGATTCTTCTCGGCGAAGTCCTTCGCAAAACCGCGATCATCACTGCAGGTAGATCCTTCACGCACCTTATAAAGATTCGCCATGAGGACCATCACAAGCTTGTGACGCAAGGAGTGTATAGAATCGTGAGGCATCCGAGTTACTCCGGGTTTCTTATCTGGTCTGTGGGGACGCAGGTGATGCTGTGTAACCCTGTTTCGGTGATTGCGTTTGCGGTTGTGGTGTGGAAGTTCTTTGCGGATAGGATACCTTATGAGGAGCATTACTTGAAGCAGTTTTTTGGGAGACAGTATGTTGAGTATGCGCAGAGGGTTCACTCTGGTGTTCCTTTTGTAAACTGAAAACAATTTGAATCAGTTATTAAACATTATAGGTTTGGTTGATTACTGTTTACTAATGTATTTGTCACTGCTTAGTTATTTGGTTATTCATGAGTGAATTAAAGCTGATATTTTATTTCTTTTGCCTTGGATTAATCTTGGGTTTGGTGTGTTGAGGTGTCAAAATGACTTCAACTTAATTTTTATCTACAACATTTGAACTTGCCAATAGTGTTTTAGTTTTTTAAGGTTACAACAAAAAAAATTAAAAAATGACTAACAATCTTATTTTCTAAAATCTTACTCCCTCCGTTTCGAATTAGATGTCATTCTAGAGAAAAAATTTCGTTTCAAAATAAGTGTCATTTTAGAGTTTCGAGACAGAATTTATTAGGTTTATATGATATTCTATTTTTCTATTGGTTGAAAAGTGGTTAGGTGTATTGGTAATTGTGTTTTTATATTGAAAATGTGTAAAATTAAATGTTTCTTTAATCTGTGTGTAAAAACCTAGAATGACAAATAAATTGAAACGGAGAGAGTATCTTTTTAGCTGTAGAAAATATATTAATGTATCAATAAATTTAAAACTAAATAAAAAAAATATAGTGAATTTTATTCAGTTAGAGCCGAACCAATCGCCCTCTTGTTTTAGTTTTGAGTTTCATATTGGTTAAGTTTCTGATTCTAAATTTGGTTTGACATGGTTATTGGTTTTGGTTAGCTCTCTGGGTGTACTCAAACACTCTTGCTGAGCTAGAGGGTCATATGTTAGGGTGGTTTTGAAAACACTCTGGCTCAGCTAGAGGGTTATTATGTCCTTATTCTTTGTCATAAAACCTTAACCACAGTGGTAGGTAGGGAAGCTCCGGCGGAGAGTCTCCGAGAGAGAGTGACACTTTTGGCCGATTGTTAATCTCGATCTCGAGGAGGGACCATGTTGTGCGGAGGCTCACGTGCCTTGCAGCATTTTTCTGATTACCATCACCATCATACATCAATCGGATTAGGATTAGGTTTTTGCGGAGCTAAGATCGTGCTGCTCTCTTCATTCTTCCTTAGGCCTTCTTCTCAAGCTAAGGCGAGAAGTCAGCTCAGCCATAAATTGCGTCGCCGGATAGTTTCTTCCTCTGGATTTCACTACAAGACTTCCGGCGAAACGCCTATACTTCACAACTGCTTCAGGTTATTTTTGTACTCTTCGATTTGAGTCTTTAATGTTTGTTTTTTTTGTTTACTGAGGATTTTGGAATTCAAAGTTGGCATCTTAACCACATGATGTGAGTTTCTCAGTTAGTTATAGAGACATATGCTTCTTGATTGGACTAGTTATAGGAGTTATGTTACTGTTCTCTAACTGATGTACAAGTTGGTGTCTTTTTCTCATTATCTGTTTTGTTTTCTTCCTCCAAAGCCAGCGAAAAGATGATCCTGAGCTTTCAGCTGATGGGTCAACTCCTGTTTCAGGTATCTTCCTTGCTTGCTTCCTATTTAAAAAGGCCACACTTTTCTAGTTTTAGAAATGGTGAATTATGCGATGATTAGCTTTAAGTGTAGTGCGACACTAGAAACTCGACAGGACGATAGATCTTATTAGATGTTAGCAAATGGTGATGTTGTTTGATGGTTTGCAATGCCCTTATTAAATGTTATCGGATTTATAATTCATGTTGCAGGAGGTATTGTTGCTCTAGGGAAGTTTGATGCTCTACATGTTGGCCATCGAGAGCTTGCTATTCAAGCTTCCAGAGTCGGAACTCCTTATCTATTATCCTTTGTTGGAATGGCTGAGGTATTCGGTTGGGAGCCTAGGTAATACCCCCTTGGCTGAGGCTGTAAAAAATAAGTTTGTGCTCTTTTCCATAGTGAATACTGACGAATATATATACAAGCAGGGCTCCAATAGTGGCTAAATGTGATCGAAAACGGGTGCTTACCTCTTGGGACTCATATTGTGGTAACAAAGCACCAGTAGAGTACGAGATTGAATTTGCCAGCGTGCGACATCTTACTCCACGAGAATTTGTTGAGAAGCTATCAAAAGAGCTCAGAGTCTGCGGAGTTGTGGCAGGTGAGTATTAGTAAGATATCAAACCCACTCCTCTTTTGTACCATTTCATGTTGAAACACTCATATAGATAGTCTGCAACTTCTCCCAACAGGCGAAAATTACAGATTTGGATATAAAGCTTCAGGTGATGCCTCTGAGCTAGTGAGATTGTGCGAGGAGTATGGTATCGGCGCTTACATCATAACCTCTGTGATGGACAAGAAGCAAGACTCAAAAAAGAGAGACTCAGGGGACTCCAAAGACAGAGGGCAAGTCTCTTCTACACGTGTACGACAAGCTCTTGCAGCAGGAGATATGAGTTATGTATCAGAGCTTCTTGGCAGAGCACATCGGCTTATCTTACAAGCCAACATCCGAGATATGCAGAGTGAAAGAAGGATCTCAGTGCCGAGATCATCAATACTTAATCTACCTCCTGGAAATGGGGTTTACAAGGCGTGTTTGGTTCTAGTTGGTGATGATGAGACTTCAGTTCCGTGTAATGTAGTTGTTGATACATCATGTATTCATGTAGAAACAGAGGAGCTACGACTCTGTAATTCAGATTTGTCTCAAGAGTTGAAACTCTTGAGTGTTGAGTTTGGTTGATTCAATCTTTGATTAGTTCCTATCAATTCATTGTTCTTTAACATTGATTAAGATTTGCAAAGATAAATGAATTCACTTAAACATATTACAAGAAATTGAGTTTGTACAGTATTGTCTGTGTTTCTAAGACTATTCTCTGATCAATCAGGTAAAGAAGAAAGAGTTGTTTCTTCTAAGAAACAGTGGCTTTAGCTAATGTTCTTCAGTCTCTTCATAGCTCAGGGAAAGAGCTTTCTCAAGACATCTGAAAGCTCTCTTGTAGCTTAAGAACCCCATGAACCAGAAGTCGAAACCATCGACAGTGACTACTTCCAGGTACTTCTGTGACGGTTTCTTCATGTTCTGACTTTGGTTCACTGTCTGAATCTTGCACAAAGGAACTGACACTTTGTAGTGAACCCTGATCATGTCTCCTTGAGGGGAAGCCACCTTTATGGATCTCTCGCTGCAGAAGGCCATTTTCTTGGAAGAAATGAAGAGAAGGCCTGCTATGGGACCCGCTGTAGTAGACAAGTAACACTGGTAGGCTTTGAAGAGTTTCTCATCTTCATTGACTCTGAAGAGCCGCTTATAGATCTTCTCTAAGCCTCCTACTTGAAGAATCTTTGCCCCCAAAGAGAGCTTTCTCTTCACTGTTTCGGTTAGCCTTGGTCTTAACTTGCTCTGGTCTCTATCTCCATTGGTGAAACCACTGGTTTTCTTCCTCTTAAGAACTGATTTTGTGTTGTTACTCGAAGTCGGAAAAGTAATGAGTTGTTGCTCAGCTCTGATCATGATCATCTTTAGAGGATTGAGTAATCTTGATCTTGATGATGTTGATGTTGTGAAATGAAGATGATTTGATGAAATGGTTTGGTTGAGGCTTAAGGTATTTATAGGGCAATGAAAAGATAAGATAGTGAAAATCTTAAAACCTTTTCTGAGCACAAGATGAGTCATAATGTGTCATCAAGACAACAATTGAACAAGAATGAAAGAAAAGGCTATTTTCAGTTTGAATCTTTCTTGGTGATTAGGATTAAAGCAATGCGTTTGGCTGCTTTTGATTAGGATCACACGCCCCTCACGTTAGACTCCGACATGCTTTTTGACCTACTACACGTTGTCTAGAGACGGCAAACTTTTTTTTGTGTAGTATTGTCTAGTTTCTGACACATAACATGCATGTAAATACGCATCTCTTGTGTGCATATCACTCGGATTAAAACGTTTTCATTCAGCATAATCTCAGTTGCCTAAATATCTTTACTAATTGTTTTTAAATAATTTATTACATTTTTGTAATTAGTTTGGAACGTGAAAGTATAAATGTTCAGCAAAAAACATGAAAGTAAAAGAAAATAAGAAAACAATATAACGCTGACTTATGGAGAAGGGATGTTGTGGCTTTGGAGCTTTCTGAGTTGGCATGGTGACTTTCTGACGCCATAACCTTTTCTTTATCTGGCTAAGATAAGGTATTTTCATGTATTCAAAAGTCAGAAAACTAATAAAATAAAACACAAAAGTAAATATGGTTTGAAATGGATCCCACCATAGACTAAACCTGCCGTTCTATCAATCCGTCACCCATGTGATCTTACACACATGTAAACTGCTCTACACTTTTTTTTAATATGTACTGTTTTATTTTCAAACCAAAAAGAAGATTTGATTAGTTGGTAGTTAAGACATAAAGACACACAATATGAATGTAAAATGTTGTTTACTTCCAAGTGGGTGGTAAGTAACAATCTCTTCTTTGACCTATCCATATACCTCCAAGTCTATAAGTCTGGTTGTGGTATCTTGTTACCATGGAATATATAGATGAAAAGTTTGCCAACATCTGGATTTTTATGAGAGAGTTACCATAACAAAATGCTTCTTACTATAAATGTTATTTGGATTGATTATTTTTGATGGTTGCACATATTAAGCATTGTAAACACATAGACAGAGTAGGAGATGATTTGATACACTCTTCTTGGCTTCAACAGTAAATATTTGCTAGGGAATCATCAGGTTTCACTTGATTGACTCTAGCTGTAGAAGAACACCATCTTATGCTCTGCTTCTGGTGAGAGTATACATTTTGCAGGCATGAGGCTCCACTAAGGCAGATAGTTGCTTTCTAACACCTGAGAGTGTTGAATGCTGCATTCATCAAAGTTTTCATGATTAGGTTTCATGTGTGATTACAAATAAGGAGTAACCATGATTTCTTTAACGTAATTTACCGCCCATAAGTCACGAGCATTAACAATAGCTGATGAATCAAGGCCAATGTCCTCCCATCTAGCTGTGATGTTAGCAGGTGATGATCCTCTGTTCCATAAGATGACTGCTACTCGTTTCATGCTTAGTGGACCAGCCCATACCTGCATGTGCATGTCTATGTGTTCATATTGTTCTTGTTTGGTATGTGCATGCATATTTATAAGAAGTATAATACCTCAAGATCACCTTCTTTCTTGATTTTCTTTCCTTGGATCCCAAGTTTGTCTGAACATAAACAGCTAAAAGCTCTTACTACTACTACTTCTAAAGTTTTTTAAGAACTTTGTTTGATATTAGTTACCTTGATTAACAGCAATCACCTCTTTGTTACTAAGCAACTCAAAAGTGACTTTGTCCATCGATCTAAGATCACAACCGATCAGGAGAGGAGCCTGCAATGCAAGAGACAAACAAACACAGAGTAACATTTAGTTTTGAGTATAGGAAACATTAAAACTATGTTCATCATACTTTAGCCAATGCCCAGATACTGAAATGAGATCTGTATTCTTCTCTAGTCATGCCTCCATTTCCCACTTCAAGCATGTCTGGATCTGTTTCAGTTTCAGTTTCACCAATATTAGTATCTCCATTCACATATGTTTAGCTAAAAAAAACTACTTACCGTTCCATGATCCTGGTCTTGCGTAAGATGCCCATCGATCATTCTGATCTGCTATCATTGTCATGCTAATAAGCAAACAAAAAGAAGTAAGAAACAATCATATTCATGTTCTTGTTCCACTAAGATTACAAAACAAAAAAGAAACATTAAAGAAGTGAACCTCTTCCAGTTATCTTGGATGTCTCCTGTTGTTCTCCAACTGTTACCAATATCTCCTGCCCAAGTTGCTGGATCCTCTTGTCCCCTGCGTTTTACAACTCGGTTTCATCATCAGACCAAAGTTGTCTGGAAAAAAAAAATCCATAACTTATGGATTGGTTCTTACCATTCACACAAAGAGAAGAATATGGATCTTCCTGAATTTATCAGAGCTTTGCTCATCTTTGGGTATCTTTCTTTTGGACTTGTCCCTGTGTTTTCGCAGTTATCATACTTCAAGTAGTCAATACCCTGTCAAGATTCACCATATTTTAGGTCTTGATCTCAACTAAAACACACACATACATGCATGCATACATACATACCCATGAGGCAAACGTTTTGGCATCTTGTTCTTCATGCCCCAGTGAGCCAGGCATAGTTTGGCTGCAAGTAAGAGTCCTAGCAATCCAGTCATATAAGAAGATTAACTAAGAAACTATCAACTATGTGTTGATAAGATTTGAGTTTTATAACAAAAGGTCTCTTGTGTATACCCAGCATCAGAGTAGATTCCAAGCTTAAGCCCTTTGCTATGAACATAATCTGATAAAGCTTTGATCCCTGAAGGAAACGTTGATGCTTTGGCGACCAAGTTTCCCTGAAAAAGACATCATAAACACATCTTAGTTTTGTTTTAGGATTGTCAAACACATCTCAGTAAAAAAGAAAATGTTTCTTTAACCTGAGAATCTCTCTTGAGTTCACCCCAACAATCATCTGTAACTCACAGAGGTAAAAACAGTACACAATAGTAAGAAAACAGATTAAGAAACACCAAAAAGTTTCTTCTCTGTTTTACCTATGTTGATATACTTGTAGCCTATTGCAGAGAGACCACTTGAAACCATTGCATCAGCTGCAGAGAAACTCAGACTATTATTATTACTATGATTAATCAACCAATATTGTATCAGATTTCTTAGTTAAATAGTAGAATCAGTAATCACCAGTTTGTTTGATGAGAGTTTCATTGATGTTACACTGAAAATGATTCCAGCTGTTCCACCTGATAAGAAGTACAACCATAAGAGGTAGATAACTTGTGAGCCAAGGAAACAAAATCAACAACAAACAAATGAAAAAGGATCGAACCCCATTGGAGGAGTGAGACCAAGTCCATTGTTCATCAACATTCGACTCTGAAACCCATCAACGAGCTGAGTCAGAGTCAGAGTGAAAGTAATGATCCGTAGGAAAAAACCAAGAAGAACCATTGCTTGATCAATTTTTTTGTTTTTTGTTTTGGCTTGTTTTCTTCAATGATTGTAATAACTATAGACAAACTGTGAGAAAGAGAGATAGAGAGATTCAAGAAAAGTCAAAGATGGATTTGGTAACCTAATGGGATGTTGATGTTAAAGTGGGAACTGTTGGATCATAGACAGAGAGATCTGAGTATTATATATATACTGGACACAAGCACTGTGAGTCTGTGACTGTCCTACCATAGCAAGTGGCTCCATTTTGAATTTAATTTTAGTTTCATTATTGGTTTTTCAGATAACAAGAAGACATATTTTTATTTTATTTATTGTTTACGGTTGTGACGTAAAAAGTGTACAGAAAATGAATTGAAGAAAAGAAGAAACTGTTGTCGCGTAAGACGTATTCATAGTTGAGAACTGTAATATAAAGTTTGAGGATAACATATTAACTGTAGTATATGTTGTTACACACTTTTAGTTATGAATCAGTTCTTGAGACTGATAATGCCATTTAGATCCAAAACATAGAGACAAAATACTTCACGCCTTTCAATAAGTGGTTAGGTCTTTATCGTCATGATCGCACAGGACTCTATCTAGTAGACACAATCGAAGTTTTTGCACCTTTTCACAATAATATAGTTTACATATTATGTTCAGAGATTATATAAAGAATGAAATATATACATACATTCATTTTAAGACTTCATCTTTTTTTTTTTTTTTTTTGATGCACATTTTAAGACTTCATCTACTGTATGTAAATACATCTCACAACCTGTTTCTAGGTAGGTTAAAAGTTTTGAATTTAAGATGTATCACGCCGCACGAGTAGAAAGAGTATACTTTAAGGTAAAGTCTCTTTTAAGTTATTGAAATGATCAGAACACACATGTGATTTGACTTGTGTCGCACGCCAGAAAAAGGAAAGAGACCATCATTATACACTCACATATTTGGAGCAAATGTAGAACAATTTTATTGAAGAAGAATTGATCATTCTTTCCACAGAAATAATTGGATATTACAACTTAACCTATATATAGCTCAGGCAACAGGTTTGAGAACATACAGCTTGCACGCATGAGAATCAACTGTTGCTGTCAAGTTTCCTACAAACTTTTGCGTCAATGTCTTGTGCTGTTCTCATATCACAACAAAAAAAAAACACATTCATCAGAAGACAGAAAATTTGATCCTTCTAAGGTGTTTGGTTTATGTAAGTTATGTATGTATATACCTCCCATAGATCTCTTGCTTCAACTATACTATTTGGAGGGATCTCAATATCATCCCAAAAAGCAGTAATAGATAACCGTGTTGGCCCACGGTTCAATAGAAGCAAAGCTACTCTATAACCTGACAATGGTCCTGCCCAAATCTGATCCCATTCATTACCACCAAGACAATTAGTTTAGATAATAAAGAACCTGTCTATAGATGGAACAGAAAATGTTGGTTCTTGAGATGTAACCAAACCTGGATATCACCTTCCATTCTAGCTTTCTTGGCCTGAACACCATGTGAATCTAAAAGAAACCGCTTATTAGTCAACAAGGTTTTTGAGGAATCAACTATAAAGAGTAATCAAAGTACCTTGATTAATAGCAATAACCTCCTTGTTTGCCACAATCTCCATAGTTTCTTTAGTCATGTTCCTTATGTCACAACCAAGTAGAAGAGGAGCCTTAGAGATTGCCCATATGCTGAAATGGACTATGTACTCATCTTTAGTCATCCCTCCATTTCCCACTTCAAGCATATCCGGATCTGCAAACCAACAACAAAGTCACACACACCACTAATCATAAAACTTTCTCAAACACATATGTTCTCTTGCTTGATATTTATATACCGTTCCAGCCACCAGGCCTTGCATGTTCAGCATAAATCTCATTCATGTCTGCATTTGCAATCATACTACACAAGTAAAAAGGAACATTTAGCAACTCTTGAGTAAACATGTCACCATCTTCTTCTTCTTCTTTTTTGTGTTCTTCTTCTTACCTAAGCCAACTATCATTGATGTCACTAGTGGTTCTCCAACTGTTGCCTAGTGGAGATCCCCAGAGAGCTGGATGCATATCTCCCCTGATAAGTAACCAATTCATAAGTCTTAAACTCTTCCCCGGAAACATGGAATCAAAACAATGAAAGGGGACATGATTGGTACCATTCACACAAGGAGTGAAAGATGGGACGGCCAGATTTCATCAGAGCTCTGGTCATAACTGGATACCTACAATGCATTTGGCGGTGAATGTGAATCCCATATTGTCTAACAGGTATGTATGATTAGTAGTACTAATACTAAATACCTGATGGTTGGTCTGGAGCCATCGGTGTTGCAGTTATCATACTTCAAGTAATCTATCCCCTGACATTTTGAGCCAAGCATTGTTACTACTTTATGTCTCATTCTTATTCAGTTTATGAGATGAAACAAGAATGTCATCTAATGTACCCATTCTGCAAATGTCTTGGCATCTTGCTCCTCATGGCCTAGAGAGCCCGGCATGGTTTTGCTGCAGGTTAAGTACCTGTGAACCAAAACAAATCATTGAGTCTTGTGTATTCATTCCTCAAGACCGATGAAACTATAATAGTGTACCCGGCATCAGAGTAGATCCCAAGCTTAAGGCCCTTGCTGTGAACATAATCTGCAAGGGCTTTGATACCAGAAGGGAATGTAGACTTCTTTGGCACCAGATTCCCCTGGAATCACAGATAAAACTTACAGAAAAGTACAGAAGCAAGAAGTGAAACCAAAGAACTGATAGTACCTTTTGGTCACGAGCAAGTTCAGCCCAACAATCATCTGAGAAACAAACCAAGAACTTAAAACATTTAATCAAATAACTTGAAGAGTATATACAACTTGAGAGTAAATACAAGAGACATTTACCGATATTAACATAGTTGTAACCGAGCTTAGAGAGACCAGTGGTAACCAATGCATCAGCTGTTACAATCATACCATTTGTTCAGAAGACAGAGAAGACTACATACGAAATGGTTCCACAAACTAACCAGTTTCTTTGATGACTTTCTCATTTATGTTACAGCTAAAATGATTCCAGCTATTCCACCTGCAAAATCATATTATAACCAACTTCTTTCAGACATCATTAAGTACAAAGCAAAGAGCTATAGAGAGACAAAGAGTTGTACAGACCCCATGGGAGGAGTGACGCCTAGGCCATTAGCGAGTAGATGTCTTCGTACGATCTCAGGTTCTTCACTGTCAACATCTCTTTGGACTGATCTAGATGAGTCGACAATGGTCATCAACACTGATGACATCATGATCATCATGAGTATTGACATCTTCAGCATCTCACTTTTCTCTCCTCTCCCCATCTCTGGAAAATCTCTCTATCGACAACGAGAACAGAGTGTGAAGATCTTCGGACAACACTGCCTAGTAGTTGAAGCTCAAAGAGTGTTTTACCAATTATTTATACACTTTTTGCCCCTCACACTCTTATCTAGACTAGATCTCCATTTTAAGTTATTTATCTTTGTAGAATAAATTTTTTTATTTTAAAATAAATAACTTTTTATAATTTTAAAGCAAAATCAATTAAAAAGTTATGTTTATTATTTTTTATTGATTGAAGTACGATTAGATATATAAATAATAGTATATTTATTTCAAAAATACAGAAAATATTCTATTATAAAGTTTAAAATAATAACTAAAATAAAATGGAATAACTAATAATATATTGGACACTCTCTAGACTAGAGATTACATCTTTTTTTCCTTAATTTATCAAATAAATTATAAATCTAACGTCCACAGAAATCCAAGGTCTTTATATATCTTTTTTTCGTGAAAGATAATTATAATTTTGGATAAATATATGATGTAACTCAATTTTTCCTGTTTTCTTGCAGAGTTTTTATGATTGGTTTATTTTATGGATGAAAAAGATTAAGAAAAAATTGATGAACAGGTTGATTTGTTTTCTTATACGGATATATTTTTTTGTTGAATTTACGGAAAGTTTGAAAAGTTATAATGAAAATCCATTGTTGCAAGAACTTTGAAAAGTTTTTAATAAGAAAGGAATCTCACGTTTCTTGAAATAGCTGGAATAGTGGAAGCATAAAAATACACATGCGTTTGTCTTTTCTTAATTAAATATTTATATATGATGGATTATATAATTCATAAAATTCCTCAGACAATTCTAAACCAATTCAAAGTTAATTATATTTATTCTCTCTGTAAACATCATTTCAATCATCTTGTCGTTGAGTTCATTCTACATCATATTCTTTGTTGTTATAATATAGAAGGAAAAATCCGCATTGTTATATTTATGTTGGCTTTTTTTTTAAAAAAAAAGGATCAAGTTAGAGATTTGAAGTAGACAAATTAGACGTTATTATTACCAGCGTTGTTATAATTACTCAGTTTCAAATATAAAAGTGCGTGTAGTATGAGTTTTAAATGAATATAGATCGTATTTTTTGTAATCAATTTGACTATAGTAAAAAGGTTAATTTAAATACTCTTGAAACATTTATAACTTTATAAGTATCCTGGCTTTTACAAGCGCCATCAATGATAAATGTATAACTGAAGGTTTAAACAGCATGCTTGGTCATTCTTAAAGGTTTACAAAAATTTCTTAACTAGAAATTAAAATAAAATCTTAATATTTAATTTCTCAGTTTCATTAAGAGTCTGTTTAAAATTTTCTTACACGAATTAAGATAATTAACATATAAGTTTTTGATTACCACCTTATTACTTTTGTAACTAACTATTCCCTATAATTTCAACTAATAAAATTTCAATAGACACAATTATATGTTTTGAAGTTTATAATTTAACATTAATTAATCTATTAAAAATGTAAAAGTATCTTTTGAAAAAAAAATCTAAAACATTAGTTTTTTTTTATAACATATACATTAAATCGGATACGAAGAAAAACTATATTGTGATTCGTTAATCCAATATCAACTACGATGTCCAAAATGAATTCAGATACTTTGTATACTTGTACATCATCTCTATCTTTTGTATCTCATTTTACAAAGGTGCTTAGTTTGGTAATAGAACATTACAATTCCCCAAAAAATCCTAACCTGATTCCCAAGAAAACATCTAGAAAAAGAGAGAGAATCAACTGTGACTTCATGAGCCAACTCTCCGACCCACCTTCCATCACATTCTATGATTTCTCACTCTCTTTATCCCATACTATAAAAACACAACACACTCTCGTTTCTGTACAATCGTATCCGTTTATACAAGCATCATCCTTCATCACCGTTCAACAAAGAGATAAATATAACAAGAAGATGTCGGATTGGGGACCGATTCTAGTGACGGTGATACTCTTCGTGTTGCTCACGCCAGGTCTTCTGTTTCAGTTGCCTGGACGACAAAGATACGTTGAGTTTGGTAATTTTCAGACAAGTGCTGTCTCCGTTATCGTCCATTCACTTCTCTACTTCTCTCTTGCCTGCGTCTTCCTCCTTGCCCTCAAGATTCACATCTACATTGGCTAAGTCCATCCCCTTTATTGCATATGTTTCGATTTGTTGTTTCCAAATTTTCTTTCTCCTAAATTTTTCTAACCTTAAATTGTTTTTCATCGTCCAGTTCTTTACGTCGATTATGCACTTTTGCTTTATATGTGTTTATCTTTTCTCTTTGTTGTAAACGCAAAGATTCATGGTTTAAATATTAATCATGTCATTTGTAAGTTTTAATACGTGAGATTAAATCCCACATGATAATAATTTCTTTCAGTTATTCATGTCTTTTAATGTTATCGATCGGTCAAACATTTCGGTTTTGAAATCCCTTTTCCAAAAGAAAAAAAAAAACATTTCGGTTTTGAGGCTGGAGATAAACCGATCATAAAACCAAACCAAATCAAACCGATTATGGCTATCTTTTTTTTTATAACACTGAATTGATTTAGGAGTTCAACAAAACAGAAGAGGGAATAACCGATTATGGCTATCTATAAACGACAATCACCACCTAATTAATAATTGCACTAAGCACCGACAAGAATTTCAAATCCAGTTAACTACTACCGCTTATTATTATACCAAGTCTAATTTTTAAAAATATCAACTGAAGTTTTTTTGTCAACATTAACTGAATCAAATATAACAAACACATATTATTCCCAAAAGTATAATATTAAAGTCTCAGACAAAAAAAATATCACTTTAAGATCTTATGTACTGTGGCATTTCAAAAAAGGGAAATTATTACAGTAATGATAGTTTATGAAGATATGTTTTGAATTAAAGTAAGAGATAAAGTACTACAATTGGCCTACTGTCACATATATTTTAGTTTGGGGATAGATGATATTAAACCTAAACACTAATAATTCAGATCTTTTAGTTTGAACTTTAAAAATTTTATCAAAAATTTCAGAAACCAAGTTCTCTTCCTTTTTCAAGTATCATAATTGTTTTTAATCAAATCAAAATATAATATTTAGTTTAAACCGGTAGTTTAGATAACATTATGGTTTATTTATTTACTAAAACGCTAAATAGTATGACTATGATTCTGGCGGTAAATAATATAGTAAAAATCGATTCTATAATTTTGTTTAAAAAAAAGAAAAAGTTGAAAACTGATTCGGAATTTGAATTAAAAGAAAAAATAATAAAAAAAGCAGCTTCCTTTCTCTCTCAGCTTTCTTTGTATCTCTCTGTGTAATTCACACCTCTCTCTCTCTCTCTCTCTCTCTTATTCTTCTCTTTCACTTCGCCATTAGAAGAAAAGATAAACACTTTCAAATACAACTCTTCCAACAACTCCTTTTTATTTCGTAAAGGAAACGACGACGTTTACTGTACGATATACTCTTTTTCAACCTGCATTCTTCTCCAATCAATTTCCAGATTTCGATTAGCCGTCGAGAAAGCCGAGATCTTAAGGTTACTTTGAAAGTTAATGCATTTGTGTGAATGTTCGTCGTTGTAAAGGTTTCGTTTCCGCCATGACCACCACCAAGCGCGCTTACAAGCTCCGTATCCTCTGAGATTTCATGTTTCCTTAATTACTCAATTTAGAAAGTTTCTTTTTTTTTGTGTGTGTGTGAATCATTTGATTAACTAAAGTGTCTTGCTTGATCTGATGCTTTTAGTTAAGGTTCACGAGATCTGTATGCACTTCTTAGCTTTAATTTTGTAATGTTAATTATGACTTATTTGCTAGCTGCATGACTCTGAACTTAAAGACTCCTTCTTTTGACTACGTGTGTCATCATGTGAGAGTATTGATTAGCCTTGACTTGTTGTGTGATACAATTCAAAAAAAAAAGAGGAATTTGTGGCACATTCTGCTGCTGTGAACTGTCTTAAGATTGGGAGGAAGTCATCTAGGAGTCTTGTAACTGGTGGGGAAGATCACAAGGTTAATCTTTGGGCTATTGGTAAGCCCAATGCCATTCTGGTCAGTTCTTCTCTCGTCTCCCTCTCCACTGTTTTTCTTAAGGAATGTCTCTCGGTTTATTATGATGTGTGAGTTAGTAGTGGTAGGAGTTAGGATGAAATGAGACACATTTTTAAGGTATAATTTAGTAGAGCAGTTTGGTAGGTTTCTCGGTCTGAGTGTTTACTTGTGGGTGTTTGTGGCCAGAGCTTGCAAGGGCACTCGAGTGGGATTGATTCAGTAACGTTTGATGCTTCGGAAAGATTAGTAGCTGCAGGTGCTGCTAGTGGTACTATTAAACTTTGGGATCTCGAGGAGGCAAAGAGTATGTTTAATAGTTTCAAAATACTCTTCTCATTTTCAGTTGCTTCTTATACATACTGAATATGTTGTTTTGGTTACATGAATGAGTAGTTGTCAGGACTCTCACTGGTCACAGGTCGAATTGCATATCAGTTAATTTTCACCCGTTTGGGGAGTTTTTTGCTTCTGGTTCTCGAGACACGAATCTTAAGATATGGGATATAAGAAAGAAGGGCTGCATCCATACTTACAAAGGCCACACTCGAGGTGTCAATGTACTCAGATTCACCCCTGATGGTCGCTGGGTTGTATCTGGAGGAGAAGACAATGTTGTGAAGGTTTGTAGCTGTCTTCCTTTCTTAATATGTGTCTATCTTTAGTATTACACATTTGTTTTATTTCACAGTGTTGCTTACTGTACTTGCTATCTTCAAAACCAAATTATCTGCAATTTTTGTCTTCTCTCTTAACGTTGGATCTGATATATGGGTTGCTTTCATCAGGTCTGGGATTTGACAGCTGGGAAACTGTTGCATGAGTTCAAGAGTCATGAAGGGCAAATTCAGAGTCTGGATTTCCATCCCCATGAATTTCTTCTGGCAACAGGTCTCTGATTTACGAGTGACACTTTGTAACACTGTTCTCTGATTTACGAGTGACAAAGTTTTATCACCATGATATGACTGCATTTTTAAAGCTAAGAGTGACTCGAGCACAGTTACAGGGTGTAACCAACCCAGGAACCACTAGATCACTGTTGCATCTTATTTTAGTAACTCACATTTACAGCTTTTTCATGTGATGTTTTAGCTTTAGGATTTTACATCATAGAGAGACATTTAATTCGCTCAGCGAAGAGAGAATCCTTCGGACAGCGAATATAGTTTCCAATTGACTTTCCTTTTGTTTACCGTTGGCCTCTCTTTTAGCAAAAAGGACTTGAGTAGTAGCTTCTTTTTTTTTTTTTTTATTGCATCATCATACACCTTACTATTCATATGAATACTGATCCTTTTTTTTTTCTGCTTGTGGTAATAGGTTCAGCTGATAAGACTGTAAAATTCTGGGACCTTGAAACATTCGAGCTTATTGGTTCTGGTGGAACTGAGGTATCATGTGTTGTCTTTACTACTTCCAGTTATGCGCTGAGTTGAATTACTGGTATTCAATCTTTCATTCAACTTTCTAATAATTTCTCTTCTTAGACTACTGGTGTTCGTTGCTTGACCTTTAATCCAGACGGAAAGAGTGTGCTTTGTGGATTGCATGAAAGTCTCAAGGTAATTTCTTCAGGACATTTCAGTCAAAGATAGATTAGTTTAACAAATCCCTCTTTGCAGGATTTAACCACTTAAATTGTACTCCTATACATTTTAATATACATGTTGCTGTCCTTTATTTACTAACTTCCATGAAAATTGTAGATTTTCTCATGGGAGCCAATAAGATGTCATGATGGAGTCGATGTTGGATGGTCAAATTTATCGGATATGAACGTTCATGAGGGAAAGCTTCTTGGTTGCTCATATAATCAAAATTGTGTAGGCGTGTGGGTTGTAGACCTCTCGGTATTTCTCTCTTTCTCCTGCATGCTTTGTTATAGTTTGACATGTTCCATAGTTTTTTTAATCTCTAAGTCCTCTAAATTTTTAATGAAATTGTCAGCGTACTGAGCCTATGAGTGGAGGCGCCAGTCAGCCAAATTTTCATTCAGAGAGGATATCGGGTTCAGGCAGAGATCAACCAGTTCTGAATGATAACAGCTCAAAGGTTATTCTCAGAAATGGTTCCCAGAAAGTGAATTCTTCATTGAAAGAAACAAAGTCTCAAGGAAGATTATCAGTTTCTCAAAACCCAGATCCTTTGCCAAAGGAAACAAAGCCTACTGGAAGGTCATCAGTATCTCAAAGTTCAGATCATTTGATAAGAGAACCAAAGCCTCTTGGAAGGCTGTCAGTTAGTAATAACTCAGACGCAGTTAAAGAGTCAATAACCTGGTCATGTATGTTTTACTTCGTTTTTTTTCGGTCTCCTCTTTTAGGCCTTTGCTATAATATGGGTGCTTATTAAATGAAATCACATTTCTTTGTTGTTTGATGTTTGCTGAAGCCACAGGAAGTACATCAGGCTCTCCTCGTAGGGTCACATCAACCAGTTCTCCAAAAGTTGCTTCTGGTGTTTCTACGGTTGTCTCTACTGCTGCAGTCTCAAAGAGGAATAATTTTGCAAAAGATAACGGAAAGGCAAATCTTCCAGTAGTCAATAAAGAGGATTTTTCCCCAGTAATTGTCCCCAGAACGGACCCAGTGATTGAGCAGGCAGTTGAATCCAGAGCAGAACTTGACATTATTGGAAGAACTATGCCATATTCGTTGCAGTCAAAGGCGGCTGATTCTAGAAGGCTATCCAGCATCAGAAATGAGCCGGATCTGCCAACTGATTCGCTTCTTGAAAGGTCTCAGTCTCAGCCTATAGAACCAAGCAATTTACCAGAAGGAAGTACATTTACTAGTGACGAATGTGGCACATGGGATGCAACTGAGAGGAAAAATAAAGACAATAGATACAGGGGTTTTGGAAGGTTTAATTCAAGATCTTTGCTGAGATCACCTCCAAGAAATCACGACGAAAACTGTATGTTTAAGCTCCTTTCCACTCCTCGTTTCTTTTAGAGCAGATATGAATTGTTTTAAGTATCTTAAATGAAATATTAGGAATCAGTCTTTAGGTATACGTGTTGTTGTTTAGTACAAGATGTTTGGGCAGCACAACTTTATGTTTAGTTGGTCCTTCTAAATTATTGATAGTAGTGTTGAGTTTTCTCTTTTCTGGATACTGTTCTCAGTTCTAAGCTAACGAACTCTCTATTTCAGCTGACTTGAATAGCTTTAATGCAAATAGAGATCAAAGTCCTAGTGAAAGTCGAAGAGGAGGTAACGATTTCGGGACATCCTTTTATTTTCCTTTTTCATCCACGTATTAGATTCTCATTATCTGTGCCTTGACATATTAGGAAGACTGCATTCCCTAGCTCAATATAGAGAAAGAAGAGGAAGAATTTTCAACTTGGAGGGTCAAGTTTCGAGTTCTTCTGGTGGAAATATGACTACACCAAACATTCGCCCTTCTTATATGGTAATGGCTTCGAATTTTTGTTATCAATTTGGGATCCGGGGCAATGGACTCTAAACAAAATTAAGAATTTGGAAGGAAAAAATATAGAGAAACCAGTAGACAGTCAATTTTTTTTATTTACTTCCTTTCATACAGCTCAATCAGAGAGGAAACCATGTGCCAGTTGATGAAGCAATCACTTCTGATAGTGAAGAAGATAAAGCTGCAGAGCTAATGGGGCAGCACGATCAATTTGTCAGCTCTATGCAGTCTCGTTTGGCTAAATTACAGGTAACATGAGGAAAGTGCAATTTATGCTAATGCTTTTGGTTCTGTCCTAAGCACAAATCATCGTTTTCCATAAAACATTGTTTGTTCTCTAAATAATTTCACCATATTTGCAGGTTGTCCGAAGATATTGGGAAAGGAACGATATTAAAAACTCGATAAGTTCAATAGAGAAGATGGCTGATAATGCTGTAAGCAACTTCTGTATATAAATACCAGTACAATATTGTCAAAAAGATTTTACACTTGCGCAGACTCTCATTATTTCATATTGCCAGGTCGTTGCGGATGTACTGGTTATAATCACTGAGAGAACTGAGACATTGACACTGGATACTTGTACCTCTCTTCTTCCCCTTTTGTCAGCTCTTCTAGGGAGTAACATGGATAGGTAAACAATTCACTCTGAAGAAAATAATAACACGGTCAATGTACATGTTTATTCTTTCTAAATGTTGTTTCATGTCTTTACTCTGTAGACATTTGAGTGTCTGCCTAGACTTGCTGCTTAAACTGGTAAGAATCTATGGGTCACAAATTTACTCGTCGCTGTCAGCTCCATCATCTGTTGGTGTAGATATTGAGGCTGAGCAAAGGTTGGTCTCAGTTTCAGTCTTCTCTTCATTTTTCGGTAGGAATTTACTCTCTTTTCCAGTTCCAACATGTTTACTGCTATTCAGGATGGAGCGGTATAGTCGTTGCTTTGTTGAACTCGAGAAAATCAAGGCTTGTCTTCCCTCTTTAGAAAGGTGAGTTTCATTCGTTTACACAATAGTTATGTCTTATCATCTTATGTCTTATATATATGCATATTTCTTTATGTCTATGTAGAAGAGGAGGATTAGTGGCGAAGACTATCCATGAACTCAGTTTAATATTTCAAGAAGTATCATCATGATGCTCCGTACTGTTTGGAAGTGGATTTGGTTGCAGTGTTTCCAGTGTGGTGTTTATAACAAAACACAAAAGCTAATTCTACCAAGCTAACCCAAAAGAGTCTATGGAAGACTAACTAACCTGCAGAAGCAGAATCTCTGCGACGCTGACTTGGTTTCAAGCCAAATTTGTGTGTAAAGAGCCATTTCGGCTGTTGTGTATTGATCTAAGCTCAATCTTTTCATTAACACAGTTTAATTATGTTTTCTACAGCACAAAAGAAAAGCCTATATTATTACAAAACTGTTTTCATAAGATTCAGATCTTGAAGTACTTGTAACCAAAATCAGGATTAGTCATCCCTTCTTCCCAATCTCCCATTCGTTTACCACCGAATACTATTTGCTGAATGCCCAAGTACCTGTAATTTCATATTTACCAAAAATTAAAGTTGTCTGCAACAGAAAAGGCATCAACAAAGTCCTAACAAAGCTATCTTGAGTTGCTTACTCTGAACTCATAACTGTCAAACTGTTGAGAAGTACATCAAGGGCGAATATATCAGAAGTACCAAGATCAACCCTGCAAGCAAACTTTATACTAAGTTCACAGATTATAAGTAGATGGTTACGGATGTGTGTGAAAAAGTGTATTACCAGACACGACCCCAGTTGTCCTGAAATTCAACGTCACTGATGTCATGGAAGGATGAAGGCATCACTTTGAAGCCCTTCTCTGCATCGTAGAGAGGATCATATTCCATTGATGAGTTTGGTAGCTGCAAGCATAGGGTTATATCATTAAGAGGGAACGTAATACATGATGAGGAGAAGCAACAGAAGAGACAGAGCGGATGATGAACAAACCTGCAAATTAGCTGTATTGAAAGCGCCCAATCGCCCCATAACATACCATGCCTGTATAACCTGTTAGCAAACTCAAGTTATATTATTGTCAAACGAAAAAAGCATTGAGTCATCAGAAAAGACTTTGCAATAGCAAGACGAAGAAGAAGAAGATCAATTTCTTACACTTCCAATAAGATCAACATCACGATCTGAAGGCGATCCATAGAGCTCAAACCATATGAAGGAGTCAACAGGATTGAAACTGCAGACAATACAAAAATATTGGTCCCATATTTCTCCAAGTAGCCTTGTGAAATGCAAACAACAAAATGAAAGAAAAAGAATTCTCACTCTCTGAAGCTAACTTTGAAAGAGAGCACAGAGCCAGTCTTCTGCTTCTGGAAATCTTTTCCCTTCTTCCTTACCCTTTCTTCAACCTGAACAAACACACATAAAATATCTGAACATGTCTGCCAAATCTTCATCAATAACGAAACTATAACAGAGAACAACTATTCATCATGCAATTCACATGTGTTCTAGCGATTAGCAACACCATCAAAGGAAGCAAAGAGTTTCCTCAAATACAGAGGAGAGAGTAGACCAAGCTGCATTTCAGTTGGTAATCCACCAGACACTCTTGTATACTGCAGAGAGTCACCAAAAGAAGCAATTTAAGCTCACAGGAGGTGTCGAATGTCTTACTCGTATAAACAAGAGTTGTGAACGATTCACTTTGGTTTCCAAACAAACAAAGTTACCTTAGAGATATCATTGAGCCACTCTCCTCCAACCCCAACAAATGCCTGAACGCCTTGGACAAGGCGTAACGCACCACGTGGCCCAGTGTTAATCGATGTCTGAACTATATCCTCAACCACCTTGGGTAAATTCTCAATCACATGGCATAAATAAACTCTACTTTGAAGGTTCATTTCAGCATAACAGTATACAAAGCGCAAGAAAGTTTCCAACTTTGAAGGCGTGAAAGTAAAAAGGTCCTGCGTTTGCGAATACTGCGCCGAGATGAAAAAAGCCTTACACTTTCTTCCTCCCATCATCTTCTTAGAACTTCCTCTCGCAACAGGAAGCTGCAAAACCGAGATTCAGCATAGAGTAATGACTTTTTGCAAATTTTGGCAGCTAAGCCGAAATTAACTGAGGAGAGAGTATAGACCTGAGATTGGTGAAGAAGTGGTAAACGCACGCACGCCACGGAAAGCTGAGACCGCCATCGATAACCGGAGACTGAGGACGCAGAGAAAGAAGGCTAGAAACTACTCCGATCAAGCAGTGGACTAACGAGACGACACCGTTTTTGTAATAGAACAGAGGAGTGAAGAGGAACAATCCACGTGGAAACTTATTATAAACGCACGCACACCGTTTTTGCACAACTTCCCGGTTCGATTTGATTCCGGTTTACCTTATTTCAATCCTCTTAAACCGAACCGTTGTTAAGACGCATTTACATAAATACCCTTATCCAAACTGAGAAAATAACAAAACCATTCGAACGAACCCTAAAACTCTTAACACGGAGCCTCTTCTTCTTCTCTATCGCCGTTACTTCGCCATCGTCGTTACATCAGCTCTCCGTTGGATCACCATCTCTCGATTTCCGAAAATGGGGAAATCCGGAGCGAGGAAGAAAAAGAGCAACAACAGCGGCAACGGTTCCAAAAACCCCAATTCCGCCGAAAACTCATCCTCCTCAAAACCCAACGTCAACGGCGGAATCGATTTCGACGCCTCCGTGTTCCTCAAACGAGCACACGAGCTCAAGGAAGAAGGCAACAAGAAGTTCCAGAGCAAAGACTTCCAATCCGCACTCGACCAATACGCCGACGCGCTCAAACTCATCCCCAAACGCCACCCAGACCGCGCCGTCTTCCACAGCAACCGCGCGGCGTGTCTGATGCAGATGAAGCCGATTGATTACGAGAAGGTCATCTCCGAGTGTTCGATGGCGCTTCAGGTCCAGCCTGGGTTCACTAGAGCTTTGCTGAGGAGAGCGAGAGCGTTTGAAGCTGTTGGGAAATATGAATTGGCTGCGCAGGATGTGAATTCGTTGCTTGGAGCTGATCCGAATCACAAGGACGCTACGGAGATGTCGAGACGGTTAATGATGTTTGGGCCTGGTGGGCCTCAGAGTAGTAGGCCTTCTCCTGCTGCTCTTGGGGCTTCTGCTGCTTTGGGTGGGCCTGTTAATGGGCTTGGTCCTTGTTTGCCTTCTCGTCAGGTTCATAAAAAGGTAGCTTCTGCGACTTCACCTGTTAGTAAGGTAGTGAAGATGAATCCTGTGATTGAGAATGGTAATGAAGGGAAGACACAGATGGGGAAGATTGTGTTGAAGCCTTTGAATGGTTCTTCTGGTAAAGGTGTGATGAAGGGAGAGCAGTCTGTGGTGGTGGCTCAAGAGAAGGTGGTTACTAGGTGGAGGCCGTTGAAGTTTGTTTATGATCATGATATTAGGTTGGGGCAGATGCCTGTTAATTGTGGGTTTAAAGTGTTGAGGGAGATTGTGAGGAGTCGTTTCCCGTCTTCTAAGTCTGTGTTGATTAAGTATAAAGATAGTGATGGTGATTTGGTTACTGTTACTTCTACTGCTGAGCTTAGGTTGGCTGAAAGTGTTGCTGATGGTGTTTTGACTAAAGAGCCTGAGTCTGATAAGTGTGAGTCCGTTGGGATGTTGAGGTTGCATGTTGTTGATGTGAGTCCTGAGCAGGAGCCTCCTTTGCCTGAGGAAGAGGAGGAGGAGGAGGAAGTGGAAGTGGTTGAGGAAGAGAAGCCTGTTGAAGAAGATGTTAGAGGATCATCTCTGAGTGAAACGGTATCTGAAACAGAGGTTAGCAATGAGAAATCGGATAAGGAGAAGGCTTCTTCTTCTGAAGATCCTGAGATGAAGGAGCTGGAGATGGATGATTGGTTGTTTGATTTTGCGCAGCTTTTCCGGTCTCACGTGGGTATTGACCCTGATGCTCATGTTGATTTGCATGAGCTGGGGATGGAGCTTTGCTCTGAGGCGTTGGAGGAAACCGTCACTAGTGAAGAAGCTCAACCGCTTTTTGAGAAAGCTGCTGCTAAGTTCCAAGAAGTTGCTGCGTTAGCTTTCTTCAACTGGGGTAATGTGCATATGTGCGCTGCGAGGAAGCGGATTCCGTTGGAAGAATCTGCTGGAAAGGAAAAGGTGGCGGAGCAGCTGCAGACTGCTTATGACTGGGTGAAAGAGAGATACACTCTTGCTAAGGAAAAATATGAGCACGCCTTGTCAATCAAACCTGACTTTTATGAGGGTTTGCTCGCTTTAGGACAACAACAGTTTGAGATGGCAAAACTCCATTGGTCTTTTGCTTTGGCACAGAAGATAGATTTGTCTGGATGGGATTCAACAGAAACATTGGCCCTCTTTGATAGCGCAGAAGAGAAGATGAAAGCTGCGACTGAGATGTGGGAGAAGCTTGAAGAACAAAGGATGAATGATCTGAAAAACCCGAACAAGAAAGAGGAAGTTTCAAAGAGGAGAAAGAAGCAAGGAGATGGGGAAACCGGGGAGGCTTCTGAAGCTGTTACAGCAGCAGAAGCAGCAGAGCAAGCGATTGCAATGAGATCACAGATCCATCTATTCTGGGGGAATATGCTGTTTGAAAGATCACAAGTGGAATGCAAAATCAGTGTAAGCGGCTGGGAGAAGAATCTTGACTCAGCAGTTGAAAGATTCAAGCTTGCTGGTGCTTCTGAAACTGACATATCGACTGTTGTCAAGAACCATTGTTCCAACGAAGCAGCTGCAGAAGGAGATGAGAAGAAGGTAACTGAATCTTGAAAAACTTTGTCAGATGGAACCCATTCGATCATAGGGAAGCTTAAAACCAAGGCTAGACCTGGAAGGTGTGTCTCTGCTACTTGCACTCATTGGATAAGCTGAAACCTTTTTGATGATTTTGATTGAATCGGTTTACCTAATTCAGTTTTAATTATGTTGTGAGCGTGCTTTGTTTGTTTCTGTTGTGTGGAATTTACTGATGAAATTATCAACGTTTCTGATCCTTATTATTTAAAAGTCTTTCAATATTCATATGTTATAAACACTCCCACACTTAACCACACCAGATTCATCAGTGATAAGTCACTTAGTTCTTGATTCTACTTGCATTAACTTCAGTACTTATTAATATTACCACACATATCAAGCCCATTCTGTTATTCTCATCTTTCTTGCCTCCATAGAATATCCCATTTTCAATAAGAATGTCTCCACGGTGGCCACCGGGTTCACAACCGTGGTGGCTGCAGCATTTTTCATTGCCTCAAACCGTGGCTCCTTAGGCTGAAACTTGACCCCAGCATAGAGTTTCATGTAGTCATCAAACACAAAACTTGGATATTCGGATTCTTTGTCCACAAGAGATTGTGCCGGAGAGATCTCGGCTAGACTCTGGAGATGTGGAGACAATTTCGAACAATTAAAAGGAGACTGTTTGTCACCTCCCAAATGCTCAGAAGGATCCTCTAGCTCACACTTAGGGGATGGAAGCTGCATAAATCTCCTGAACCGAGAAAGCTCATTTGGAGAAAGAGAAGAACTAATCCTTCTCATCGTCTCTTTACATGTCTTCATGGGTGACGATGGATGTAGCTGGCTACAGAGGGCAAATCTTTAGTTTAGCCCTTTACTCCAAGACTTTGAAAGAGTATAATTGCTTGCCTGTGGTTACCGTTGACAAGCCCTCTTGTTAATAAACGTCGGCGTTAGCAATGCCAGTTGATGAAGCAATCACTTCTGATAGTGAAGAAGATAAAGCTGCAGAGCTAATGGGGCAGCACGATCAATTTCTCAGCTCTATGCAGTCTCGTTTGGCTAAATTACAGGTAACATGAGGAAAGTGCAATTTCTGCTAATGCTTTTGGTTCTGTCCTAAGCACAAATCATCGTTTTCCATAAAACATTGTTTGTTCTCTAAATAATTTCACCATATTTGCAGGTTGTCCGAAGATATTGGGAAAGGAACGATATTAAAAACTCGATAAGTTGAATAGAGAAGATGGCTGATAATGCTGTAAGCAACTTCTATTTGTTCCCTATCTAATTCATGTATATAAATACCAGTACAATGTTGTCGAAAAGATTTTACACTTGCGCAGACTCTCATTATTTCATATTGCCAGGTCGTTGCGGATGTACTGGTTATAATCACTGAGAGAACTGAGGCATTGACACTGGATACTTGTACCTCTCTTCTTCCCCTTTTGTCAGCTCTTCTAGGGAGTAACATGGATAGGTAAGCAATTCACTCTGAAGAAAATAATAACACGGTTATTTTTTCTAAATGTTGTTTCATGTCTTTACTCTGTAGACATTTGAGTGTCTGCCTAGACTTGCTGCTTAAACTGGTAAGAATCTATGGGTCACAAATTTACTCGTCGCTGTCAGCTCCATCATCTGTTGTTGTAGATATTGAGGCTGAGCAAAGGTTAGTCTCAGTTTCAGTCTTGTCTTCCTTATCATTTTTCGGTAGCAATTTACTCCCTTTTGCAATTCCAACATGTTTACTTGCTATTCAGGATGGAGCGGTATAGTCGTTGCTTTGTTGAACTCGAGAAAATCAAGGCGTGTCTTCCGTCTTTAGAAAGGTTAGGTTTTCTTCATTTACTGGAACAATAGTTCTCTTCTTTCTTCAAGTCTTATATATATGCATATCTATGTAGAAGAGGAGGATTAGTGGCGAAGACTATCCACGAACTCAGTTTAATATTTCAAGAAGTATCATCATGATGCTCCGTACTGTTTGGAAGTGGATTTGGTTGCAGTGTTTCCAGTGTGGTGTTTATAACAAAAACAAAAAGCTAATTCTACCAAGCTAACCAAAAGAGTGTATGGAAGAAGAGTGTATGGAAGACTAACTAACCTGTGTTGCAGAAGCAGAATCTCTGCAATGATGTCTTGGTTTCAAGCCAAATTTGTGTGTAAAGAGCCATTTCGGCTGTTGTGTATTGATCTAGCTCAATCTTTTCATTAACAGGATTTAATTATGTTTTCTAGAGCACAAAAGAAAAGCCTATATTATTACAAAACTGTTTTCATAAGATTCAGATCTTGAAGTACTTGTAACCAAAATCAGGATTAGTCATCCCTTCTTCCCAATCTCCCATTCGTTTACCACCGAATACTATTTGCTGAATGCCCAAGTACCTGTAATTTCATATTTACCAAAAATTAAAGTTGTCTGCAACAGAGAAGGCATCAACAAAGTCCTAACAAGGCTCTCTTGAGTTACTTACTCTGAGCTCATAACTGTCAAACTGTTGAGAAGCACATCAAGGGCGAAGATATCAGAAGTACCAAGATCAACCCTGAAAATACAATTTATACTAAGTTCGCAGATTGTAAGGAGATGTTTTGCTCAAGAATGGATGTGTCTTGAAATAAGTTATTACCAGACACGACCCCAGTTGTCCTGAAATTCAACGTCACTGATGTCATGGAAGGATGAAGGCATCACTTTGAAGCCCTTCTCTGCGTCGTAGAGAGGATCATATTCCATAGATGAGTTTGCTAGCTGCAAGCATAGGGCTATATCATTAATACGGAAGCTTGGCTGGTAATACATGAGGAGAACTAACAGAAGAAGCAGAGCGGATGATGAACAAACCTGCAAATTAGATGTATTGAAAGCGCCCAATCTCCCCATAACATACCATGCCTGTATAACCTGTTTAGCAAACTCGAGTTATATTATTGTCAAACCAAAAAAAAGCATTGAGTCATCAGAGTAAGACTTTGCAATAGCAAGACGAAGAAGAAGATCAATTTCTTACACTTCCAATAAGATCAACATCTCGATCTGAAGGCGATCCATAGAGCTCAAACCATATGAAGGAGTCAACAGGATTGAAACTACACACCAATATAAGAATATTAGTCCCATATTCTGAAGTAGCCTTATGTTATACTGCGGAGTACATCCAACAAAGTGAAGCAATAAGGAAAAGAAGATTGCTCACTCTCTGAAGCTAACTTTGAAAGAGAGCACAGAGCCAGTCTTCTGCTTCTGGAAATCTTTTCCCTTCTTCCTTACCCTTTCTTCAACCTGAACAAACAGTAAACACATAAAACATCTGGACATGTTTGCCAAATCTTCATCAAACTATAACAGAGAACAAAATTCGTTGTAGAGACCAATTATTCACCTTCTTTCTCATGAGCTCAGGGTCGCCTATGCTATCACCAAGAACAGCTCGAAGCTCTTCATCATCTTTACAAGCATTCTCAAGTACCCTGTTTCCATACAAAATTCACCCAAAGGTTCAATCTTTCTCGCCACATAAGCATAAAGACAAACATTTAGAGTGCAAAAGAGAGAGAAAGAAACAAGTACTTGGCCCAAGATGGGTAATCGTGGAGACGATCGTAGTCGCGTTTTCTCTTCTCTTCTCGAACCTTAAGTAATCTCCTTCCTCTCGCCGTCGTTCCAGACCCTTTCTTCTCTGACGAAATCTCGCCGTCAATTTCACCGGAGATGTTGTCGGAGTTAGCAGAAACAGCGACAAGAGCAGGGAGAGTACGTTTGTGGAGAGGAGAAAAGGGTTGTCTCTGAGAGACAAGGAAGGGAAGATTAAGATTAATGGTGCAAGCGGAGAGGGATAAGAGATGAGTTTTGTACATTTCTTTTTCCTTTCTTCTTCGATTCTATTCGCGTTTCTGTAAAACAAGCTCAAGTTGTGAGTATAAAGACACTGCCATTTTCACATTAGCACAAGTTCATAATCATCGGACTGGTTTAATCCGGTTTAGCAGACTTATCCATTCAAATCGTATCAAACCGTTTGGTTTATTATGAAATAGTGAACCGAACCAAAAACACAGCTGAAAGCTAGGCTAGGTTGGAAACAACATTGCTTCATAGCTTAGCTTATTACATTCAAAAACTCTTGATTTTCGACTTGTGTACTAGTCATGGCTACAACAAAGGAGCCATCCACAACGACCTTTAAACACACTCACACAATTAAAGAAACTAATTGCTTAACATTCACATTCATGCCTCTTGAGAAGAAAAGGACTTATTTAGAGTTTACAAACTAAAACTAAACATCAACTGTTCTTCATCCCACAGTTGATTGTCTTGGAAGAAGAAGATGACAAGCATTTCGAAAAAATCTCATGTCATTCCTCTCCATTCAGCTTATGTAGTTAGTCCTAAACTTGAGCAACGATTTGCAGCATAAAGGGCATCTAAACGTCAGCATAAGAGTCATCATCAAAGGAACCTACTTTCCAACTTGTGTAGTCATGGCTACAACAAAGGAGCCATCCGCAATGACCTTAAAACACTAAAAGAATTACAGAAACTAACTGCTCAAGATCCACACTCATGCCTCTTAAGAAGAATACATTACTACTTGCCCATTCCTTATCCTAACAAAAGATCATAAAGTGAAATTAAACATCAACTTTCAGTTTATCCCACAGTTGATCGTCTTCCAGAAGGAAATGACAGTACCATCTGTTGTTGTCATTCCTTTCTCTTCAGCTTATGTAGTTAGTCCTAAACTCGAACCCAACACCCATCTGCAGCATAAGGGTCATCTGAGAAAATGCCCAGCATAAGAGTCACCATCACATGAACCTAGTCTTAAACTCAACTCACTAGTATGCTACTTCTACTTCATAATCCCCATATATTCCGAGGATAAAATATCCTCCAAAGATGTTGACTTGAAGCAAACCAATCAAATCCAAACTCATTTTCAAGCTTGAACTTATCCCTTTCACTAAAGATGGAGGCCACATCTTTTAGCTTCTCAAACAAAATAGGAAACTACTATACACAATTCATGAATTGGTGAAAATGTTATGGTATTAATATGCTAAATTGTATACACAAAAAGTACATACAAACCCATTCACAACAAAAGTTTGCTCTCTTACAGACATTCTCAGTCACAAGATAGAAAAAAAGATGAAAGCTTTCTCCTTTTTCGATTCAATCACTAACCATCAAATCAACTCGAACTCATCTTCCTTGAGATGCGTAAAGAACTTAACAGGACCACGACCTTCAATCTCCTTCACGAACTGTACCTTAAACGGCAGATTAGCTGAGATCCTCTTTCCCTTCCACAAAACGACGTAGTCTTTAATCAAACCTTCCATTCCCAACAACTCAACCTCCGGAACACGAACCACGTGGTAAACCTTCAACGGCGCCGTAACCCTAACCCTAGCCCCAATCTTCTCCTTCGCCTTCTCGTCCTCCTCCGTCTCCGATAACGAAACGTCTGCGTCCACGGAAGCCGATGATCTCACCGCAGATGATCTTGGGTTCTTTCGCGAGATGGAGATGGCGCATTTGCTTCGATTAGATGAAGAGATAGGGACCAAGATTGAAGAGGACGAAGACGAAGACGAAGAAGAAGGTTTGATCGGTTTGCGTTTGTTGACAGAAGCGGGAAAGAGAGAGTCTTTTGATGCCGGAGGGCGAACGGCGGCGATAATCGCCGGTGATAGCGCGTAACCGTTAGTCATCTCCGAGTAGGTAAGTGAGAGAGAGAAAGAGAGTAAGCAGAAGAAAAAACAAAAACCTTTAAATTTTAAAAGTCACATTAATATTTGGATAAAAAAGAAAGGCGACACGTGTCAGCATATAAGGATTTAAGGGATGAGGAACTTGTGGACTCAGAGAGAGGGAATGCTACATGGTAAATATCTTCAGACACTCTTCTGATATTATATAGGCAGAGGATATAAATATAAGTGTTTCAAAAAAAAAAAAAAATATAAATATAAATAAAAATCTATCTAATTTTTATAAATATAAATAAAATTATCTAATTTTTATATATATCCAGTGTTCATTGGATAAATCACCAAAAATAAAATGAAGTCAAATACAAGACAGAAGAAAAAAAAATGAAGTTGGGAAGGCTTTTGTGTTGAGAGTCTCAGGCTTTCATGCTGCTAGTATTAAGACAAAGATTTTGCGTAGCTTTCTTTCACCATTGTCTTGACAAATAGTTCTCCTGCTCTGTATGAAGATCTCACCTGCAAACACATAAAACAAAAATATCCAAATCTTATTCATGGTTCTTAAGAAATTTGCAGATCACATAAGAGATCCAAAGTAGGAGCTGGTTTGTGTGGCTTTTACCAATGGACCACTTGCAACATAGCGAAATCCTATTGACTCTCCATATGTTTTCCAGAAATCAAACTTCTCTGGTGTGACATACTCTTTCACTGTCAAGTGCAGTGGAGTTGGCTGCATTGTGGAACAAAAGAAAGATGAATTTGGGATCTTTCTGTGTTTTGGAAACAGGAATCAATCAAGTCTGAAATGCTAAGAAAGTAATTTACCTGTAGATACTGACCAAGTGTTAGAATGTCGACATCTATAGCTCTTAGATCAGCCATTGTTTCTTTTATCTCTTCGTCTGTTTCTCCAAGACCAAGCATTAATGAAGTCTTTGTGATCATTCCTGGTTTGCTGATCTTTGCGTGTTTCAAAACCGACATGCTCTGCTCATATCTGACACTCTCCACATTTAGTACAAATAAGACTTGCGGAAGTAATTGATTTGTGTAGCAAGAGTTAAAGAACAAGTATACTCACCCAGCCCTTGGATCCCTCACAAGTCGCTGGAGCCTTTTTACAGTCTCTACGTTGTGAGCAAAAACATCTAATCCTGAGTGTACTAGAGAGTCCACAGCGACCAAGTCTCCACGGAAATCAGAAGTTAAGCACTCTATCATTATATCCGGCTTAAGTCTCTACATAGATGAGAACCACAATTTCATTTTAGAAACCAGAATTCTCGAGAAATGGGCAAACATTTAGACTAACCTTCATAGCTTTAACAGTCTGTGCAAAATGTCCACTTCCACCATCAGGTAGATCGTCACGGTCTACACTGGTAATAACTATGTAGTCTACACTGCAATAAAATAAAAGCCAAGAGAGCATCTCATATATTACACTGGTTCACAAAGATGTATAACGCTTCAATAACCAAACATTCCCATCACTGTATGCAAAAACTACTGAGACTGCAATAACACAGTTTCTTAGTACACCCCCTCTATCTAATTAGAGATACAGCTCTGTGAACTGTTGTTCCTAACTCTAGTGTCCTCAAAACTGGGAGAAGTTGTTACCATGTGCCAATTTCATAAAGCTCTTCCCAATATCACCACAAGAAGCTAAGAGATGATATAAACAAATTTACTCAGATTGTGAATCAAAAATAAAAGCAACTCACCCCCAACTGGTAATGGCCTTGGCAGTGTTCTCTGGTTCCATAGGATCAGGAGGAGCAGGGTTTCTACTGGTTTTAACTGCACAAAATCTACATCCACGAGTACAAGTATCACCAAGAACCATAATGGTAGCAGTTGCTATACCATCTCCACCTCCATTCCAACACTGCACATCAAAATCTACACTCAGATCTTTTTTTTTCTTAACGAACAAAAAAAAAAGCACTTCAATATACCCATACATATCATTCTTCATAGACACACAATCAAAGATGCTAACCTCGCCTATATTAAGACACTGAGCCTCCTCACAAACACATCAAAAGCTACTTTCAGACTCTTAACGAGAAAAAAACACCAAAAGATGTCACAAACTCTAGACCAATGATTATATAAATTAGCAGATACGTTACTAATCAATCAACTCTATAAACCAAAAACACGATTAAAACAACAAACCTCGCCTATATTAGGACACTGAGCCTCCTCACAAACATATCAAAAGCTACTTTCAGACTCTTAACGAGAAAAAAAAAACACCAAACAAACTCTAGACCAATGATTATATAATTAGCAGCTACGTTACTAATCAATCAACTCTATAAACCAAAAACACGATTAAAACAACAAACCTCGCCTATATTAGGACACTGAGCTTCCTCACAAACACATCAAAAGCTACTTTCAAAATCTTAACGAGAAAAAAAACACCAAAAGGTGTCACAAACTCTAGACCAATGATTACATAATTAGCAGATACGTTACTAATCAATCAACTCTATAAACCAAAAACACACTTAAAACAACAAACCTCGCCGATATTAGGACACTGAGCTTCCTCACAAACAGTGTTAAGCTTTCCTCACAAACACATCAAAAGCTACTTTCAGAATCTTAACTAAAAAACACTTTAAAGTGTTACCCTTTTCTTCTTCTTTTGAACACCAAGACCACAAATTCTACAAACTTCGAGACCAGAGGATTCATAAACACACAATCAAAGATACTAACCTCGCCTATATTAGGACACTGAGCTTCTTCACAAACAGTGTTAAGCTTGAGACGAGTCAAAGACTCCTTAACCTCCTGAAACCTCTCTCCCTGTGGAGCCTTTTGTCTCAACCAAGCAGGCTTCTTCACATTCGGATCTCTCCCTGTGAAAGGACCCATCTTTGGCATCCCTCCTGGGTAAATCTCGCTCCTTTTCTCTCCAGACTCCATCAGATTCTTCTTTAAAGATGAACCCTCCATTGACGAGACATCCTTGGACACGCATCGGATTCTGAAACTCAGATTCGAGAAGGTAGTGGAATGACGATGTTTGTGTGTGGAGATCGGAACTGAGAAAGTGGGTTTCGTGATGGAGCAGTGATGAATCATTTTTTGTCTGAGAGATTTTTTTGGTTGTGTGTGGGGAAAAATGGGGAAGAAGGTTTTAGGAGATTGGAACAGAGACTCTGGTTTGGTTAGCTAACTTTGTTATGTCCGCCAACTACCACTTACAGCGCCAAAATAAAAAACAAACACTGATAAAAAAAATTTCCAACAACTAATAATAATATTCAGTGTTAACAAAAAAATAATTAATTTATGTGTTAGAATGTTAACATATGTGATCAGTAAAGAATGAACTAATGCTATGATCTTTTTATACTTAACTTTTAGGTTGTGATTCCCTTTGATCAGCCTGAGCATTTTGTGAGTATTGGTACTGATGGCATAGAGCAGCTCTTTCTGGTGGATAATGGATGCAACAGATCTTAGATGGTAACTAGTACTTATCATTCTTTGAATGAGATGAAGTAGATCAAGACTCCTACATATTGTGAATGCAGGAATGTCCATGTAGATGATGACATTGGATGAAAGTGAAATGATGCTCTAGACGTGAAGATATAGAATAGTTTGCTTGTGTTGAGTTTTTGTTTAATGTGTTTTGGTTTCTTGTAGTAATTAGCCAGTCTTGTGCGTTTGTTGTAAATGGCAGCTCAAGAGATACAATTTGTGTTTCACCCTCGGATTATTTACTAAGAAGGTAAAACGTTTCTGACAATAATGGCAAACTCATCAGCATACAAAGATTAGCTTCTTGACAAGCATTGATCATCTGATTTGCTAATTGTGTTGCGGGCTCTGCAGAGAAAAGTTTTTTTTTTGTTTTGTTTAAGAAATGAGCTTTCGGTAAATATAACATTGTTATCTCTATTTTTCTCTGGCCTTTCCAGCAGCTTTACAATATTAGAGATCGTCAATGTTTGACACCGTTGATTGCTTTTTGAAAATGATAGTAATATTTCATTTTAGGATATGAAAATTGACGTTAGCATAATATTAAAGAATTTTTTGTAATAAATACAATTTTTAAGGACATTGATATTTGTTACTTATTTTGTAAGTTAATTTATTAAAGTTAATTATGGATAAAATGAAAAATGGGAATGCATGAAAGTGAAATTAAAATGTTATTTCAAAAATTAATTTATATTTGTACTTTAATTTTAATGGATTAGATGATACAAAAATTCTATAGCTGATAATTATATCCTCGTGATTTTTTTTTTCTCTATGGTTTGAAAAGAGTTAGACTTGAATGTTTTTGTTTTCCTCTATGGTTTATTGGAGGAAACTTACTCATGCTCTGTTCAATGTTCAGAACTAGGGGTGGGCACTTTATCCCCGAATTCGTACCCGAACTCGTACCCGAACCCGACCCGAAATATCCGAACCGAAATAGCAAAATACCCGAACGGGTATTGAGTTAGGAGAGTTTGGATATCCGAACCCGAACGGGTATTACCCGAACCCGAATGGGTATCCGAAGATAACCGAACATATGTATATATACCTATTTATTCCTAGTTTATTTGTCTCATTTTATTAAAAATATTTATATTAATGTTATATATAATTTAAGATCAGATAATATATATATATATATATAATTGTAGAAAAATAAATTTGTTACTCATTTAAAATGCATATTAAGCTTCTTATTTCCTATTTTAAACAAAATTTGCATCCAAAATTCAAAAATAACAACCAAATTAGTGATTTTTATTTTCGATAATTTATTTTCAAACTTATTAATTGTCTAACTTATTAAACATTTTAAAAACAATTAAGTTAATAGTTAAATTTTAAATACATGAAACTTAAGTAATAAAGAATTTGAAATTTTCTTTCAAAATCTAAATATCCGAACCCGACCCGAAATAACCGAACCGAACTAAAAATATCCGAACCCGACCCGATATGTAAAAATACCCAAACGGGTTCTATACCCCAATACCGAAATACCCAAAAACCCGAAACACCCGACCCGAACCCGAACGGGTACCCGAACGCCCACCCCTAGGGGTTAACCCACATATTTCGAAAAAATTGGAAAATATGATAATTTTGTTTTAATGCATATTTGTACCATTCACTAACATAGTATGAAGGTTAAATAGGTTTGAGACCTTAGGTGTTCATGTTTCTCCAAAAAATAGAATTTTATTTATAGGGGGTTTGTCCACTGATTAAGTGGTAGAAAATTTAAATAAATTACATTTTTGAAAATTAGAAATGATGTCAATATACTAAGTAAATAAGCTTATCATACATTAATATAAGTTTTGAGTGTGGTTAGGTATTTGTTTAATAGCACGAGAGAGACTAAACTTTAGTATATATAGCATTTATTGGAAAACTCAATTTTTTCGTAGGGGTTAACCCACATATTTCAAGAAAAATTAGAAAATATGAAAATTTTGTTTTAATGCATATTTGCATCATTCACTGACATAGTATGAAGGTTAAAGAGGTTTGAGACCTTAGGTTTTCATGTTTCTCCAAAAAATATAATTTATTTTATAGGGGGTTTGTCCACTGATTAAGTGGTATGAAATTTAAATAAATTACATGTTGGAAAATTATAAATGATGTCCATGTACTAGGTAAATAAGCTTATCATACATTAATATAAGTTTTGAATGTGGTTATGTATTTTTTTAATAGCATGAAAGAGGCTAAACTTTAGTATATATAACATTTATTGGAAAACTCAATCTTTTCATAGGGGTTAACCCACATATTTCGAAATTTTTTGGAAAATATGATAATTTTGTTTTAATGCATATTTGTATCATTCACTGACATAGTATGAAGGTTAAATAGGTTTGAGACGTTAGGTGTTTATGTTTCTCCAAAAAATAGAATTTTATTTATAGGGGGTTTGTCCACTGATTAAGTGGTAGAAAATTTAAATAAATTACATTTTTGAAAATTAGAACTGATGTCAATGTACTAAGTAAATAAGCTTATCATACATTAATATAAGTTTTGAGTGTGGTTAGGTATTTGTTTAATAGCACGAGAGAGGCTAAACTTTAGTATATATAGCATTTATTGGAAAACTCAATTTTTTCATAGGGGTTAACCCACATATTTCGAGAAAAATTAGAAAATATGAAAATTTTGGTTTAATGCATA